AGAGTATGATCTTCTCACGGAAGAGGACAAGGCTTTATCTCTAAGTTCCTCCAGGAACTCAGCGAACTTAACCCAGAAGGCACAGCGGAAGGAGGCAACCGCCAAGGAAAAGCGTGAGATGAAGAAACAGTTTGATGAAGCGAAAGCAGCAGAATATCAGAGCTGGCTAGACAATGATGTCTTTGAGCTCGTCGATACACGGAAACTCGGAAACATCCGAAATTATGTCACTGGTCGATGGGTCCTGACTCTAAAAAGAGACAAGGACGGAAACTTCCTTAAGTGCAAGGCCCGATGGGTCCTGAGAGGTTTCCAGGATCGACAGAAGGACATTCAGCAAACTGATAGTCCTGCTGCGAGTCGCCCAGGCTTCCGCTTAGCGATTCAACTAGCAGCTAACAAGCTGTGGAATCTGACACACATCGACTTAAAGACTGCTTTCCTGCAGGGTGAAGCCTATGATGAGTCGAGAGACATAATCTGTCAGATTCCTCCTGAAGCAGGTTATCCTTCCTACATTGCAGCGAGGATGAAGAAACCCGCTTATGGACTTAACGATGCACCTCGAAGATGGTGGAACATCGTTGATAAGGCACTCCTGTCTTATGGCCTGGTGCCAACCCGTGCGGATCGCTGTACATATGTTCTGTATGGTAAGAAGTCTGCAACAGCAGATGCTGAGCTCAAGAAGTCTCAGCCAAAGACCATGGAATCAGCGATTGACTATCTCCTAGATCCCATAGCAGGCAACAATGCCAAGGGTAGACAGGTACATGGAGTAGTCTGTTTGCATGTAGATGACCTGTGCATGGCCGGTGATGACACCTTTCGTAAGGCCGTGATAGAATCGATCAAAAAGGAATTTGCAGTAGGTTCTGAAGATACGAATGATATCATGTTTGTAGGACAGAGATTAGTCTGGAAGGATGCTACAGCATCAGTGCCAGCACATATCTCAGTAAATCAGAACCTAGCTGTTGAAGCTCTAGAAGAAATTGTTTTTGACAAGAAGCTCAACAATGAGCAACAATGCACACCACAGCAGCACACTGCTTATAGAAGTGTTTTAGGACAGATCAACTGGCTACAAAGCCGGACTCAAGCCCACATTTGTTATCGCTTCAGTAGGTGTGCAAGCAAGGCTGCCAAGCCTACTATCGGTGATATTCGAGAACTGAACAAACTTGTTAGGATTTTGAAGTCTACCGAAGTAGAATTGCGTTTTTGGCCGCTGAAAGGAAATCTCAGAATCCTCGGTTACCCTGATGCTTCCTACAGGAACAATGATGACAAATCATCTCAGAGAGCACATGTTATTTTCCTTGCTGAAGATCGAAATCCGAAGCTAAAAGGAATGAAACAATCAGCAGCAGCTGCTTCTTCCAAGAAGAATGATTTCTCTGAATCCTCTATCAAGGAAACATCCTCGAGAGGTAGCCTGGTGGACTATGAGTCTCACAAGATTACGACAACCACAATGTCCACAACAGTGGCAGAGCTTAACGCACTGATGCGTTGCTTTGGTACCTGCCTGTTCCTCAAGGGACTTTGGGCAGATCTCTCATCAGAGACCGTACCTATACATATCAGAACAGATGCGAACAATCTTGTGACAACAGCAGGCACGACACACCTTCCAGAGCAAAAGGAAACTCACCATCTTATACAGATGCTTCGTAAGGAATCCAACTCTGGATCTCTAGATGATCTAGCTCATGTAAGCTCGAAGTACTGCCTAGCTGATGCATTAACAAAGCATTCGGCACAACCTGATGAGCTTATCAAGGCTCTGGAAACAGGAAACTTACCAGAAACAGACATTCATCCACCCTTCCGTGAACTCCTTCAACATAAAGCTTTCACTGTTCGGTGGATTATAGACAACCTTAGGAATGCCGCTACAGCGGTAGCCTTCCTTGGAATTGATGTCTCAACAGAGATTTACCGATTATTTTACTGCCAAGGAACATGGTGGTAGTCTTGTTTGCTGGTAGCACAACCATGTGCTGGATTTTCTATTTAGACTGTTTTTCGTCTAAAAGAAAATTTGTGTCTGCAAGCTGCGTTTTCATCAAGATCAGACATGTTCATGAGAACTCTATGTTCTATACCATCCGCAGCCGCTTTCAGCCTCGAGCCTCACAGCAACTAGCCTTTTGAGCTAACCAAGCATTCCTGATCCCGTTTGGTCATCGTGCCGTAATGAGCACACGATCAAATTTCCGTAGCCGTGATGGATACGCCCTACCAAGGGCAGAACAGGCGTACCATGAGCGACATCCACACATGGATAGCTCTTACCCCGAGTCTCGTCGGGACGCATCACGTCGACACACCGAACACGGTGGACACCGATTTCACAAACGTGAGAAAAATAACGAGCCTCCATACATTTACATGGGTCACCAACAGGTGTTCAATCCGCGTCCAAGAGATCTTGCTGACCTGATCTTACGATGTGGCCATGCGAGTCGAGCAAAGCTCACTCCAATCTCCAAACATGGAGTCAGGCTCTACGAAGGAGTCCTCCAAGGACCATGGGACAACAGTCCCCTTTTATACTGGGATAACAACGTGGGCAATCACGCTCGTGATCCACGCCAGTTTTGTACGATGCTTGCACATCACCTTCAGACTGGCCTCCCACAGGAGGTAAAACAATGTGTGAGTCTTGATGCATCTGGAGAATATGACTATCCCTCCTCAGTGCCAAGACTGGTAGAGGTAACAGGTCTCTCACCAGAGATGTGCTTCCACATTCTCTCCAAGACCAACAAGGTCGGAAGGTGGTTAGCACACTCAACAAGACACCTTCAGAATCAGCGCCAAGATCTCTTTTCTGGCCAACACAATTATCTTCTGGACATGTCCAAGTTGGCCGATGCACAGCTCGCACAATATTCACCACAAGAAATCGCGCTTGGTGTTTTACTTAACACTAAGTCCAGGTTCGTGGTCACTATGGTTTATGACCAAGATGGCAGGGCTGAAACAACAGTTGCCGCCGTTACCATCCCACAGGATGCAAATGTGATGACCATGACCAAACTTTACCTCTCGGCAGTGGGAGGACACGGTTCACGAAGAACTCTACCAAGAGCTGAAGAACCAGATCCTGAAGAAGAGAGGCCAAGGTCACACATGACCATCTCAGACTTCATGGCAACGGGGAGCAATCCTGTGCAGTCCCATGCACAGCGTCTCTCCACTAACGCTCCAAGGCCCGTAGGCATGGAAGATTTTGTTCGACAGAACAACCCTTGTTACATCATGCATGCCACGGACTTGCATGCACTATCCTCAATCCTGAGGCATGGTCTGGTACCATCAAACCTCTTATCTCAGGTGGTGACCTCACCAGGTCTTCAAGCTCTCGTGAATGAAAACAGTCGTTCCAATAGGGACACTGTTCAGTTTTCATCGCTAAACCTGGCGAATCCTAATCCGACTTTGCTGCGTGCCAACAAGGCACTGCTCCTAGTATTCGACGCAAATAACGTAGTGAACGAAGTCACAAACATGTGGCAGTCGCAAGCGGGGATGTTTGCTACACCAGATGTAGTGCATGCCCGTACTCTTAGCGCCGTATTTGCACCCTCTGAAACACTCTGGGTATCATCGCAATACGATGAGCTCAAGAGCATCGGACCATGGTGGGCAGACCACTGCTCCGAACAAATGCCGTCAGCGACTTACGAGTCGAAGAAATGGTGCTCAAATTACGGCAAGGAGATCGAATCGACACTTCGCAAGATGTCAAGGCGAAATCTGCCTCCAGAGCCTCCCAAGGCTAGATCTTCTCACAAGAAGTCTTTCTCTCTGCCAAATACAGAGGCTGACACAGCTCCAAACCAGGAGCAAACCGCTTCTGCAGGTGAAGTACCTCCGAACACGGAAACTACTGCAAAGGAGATCCACCCGAGATCCAAGCTCGCCCGGCAGGCCGAGGCCGACAAGGATCCGGACAGTCTTATGGGACAGCTCTGGAACTCCGACGGCACCAGAAGCGCCACTGAAGTTCTTAAGATAACGACAGGTCACAAACCTCCAGAACCTGTCCAGGATACTTCTGCCAACGTAGTTCCTCCCAAGGAAGAATCTTCTGGAACAGAGACGGAACCTGAGGAACCAGATCCTAACCAGGATTGTGACGAAGAATCAGACGCTGAGACGGCGTCAAGCGAAAAGAGCGAGAAGAGCGAAAAGAGCTCAAAATCTTCGTCATCCTCAGAACTCCGAGTTGATGTTAATCCGTCTCACAAGACGAACTCTGCACCTGCAGCATCAGAGGAGAAGAAAGAATCTCCCACGAAAGAGATCACAGAGAAACTTGAGAAGGTCAAACTTGACCAACCAAAGCCTGAAACAGAATATGTTCAGAGTTCAGACGAAGAGCCAAGAAAACCAAAATCTCCTAAAAAGGAGAAGGAAACATTCCTAGTTCTCTTCGATCCTGAAACAGAAACCTATTATCGAGTCAACAGAAGCAAGCTCAACCTCGAATACGAGGAACCTGCTGATGAGGAAGATCTCGTAAGAGAACATGAGCGCATCAGCGCTCGGATTCGAGAAAATACAAGCACCGAATTTCGAAGTCACCGTCTAACCCGGCTATGCAACAGGAAATGCAAGAAAGAATCTGGGTTAGTCGATGGAATCGAAAAATCCGAAGTCCACTCATGATCAAAGATTCTGAGGCTCCTGACGAAGAGGAGTGGGACAGACCCAGAGAGTCAGCATCTTCCTCCTCTGCGCCTCCTAACAAGGAGAGATTTGTAGGAGTACGCAGGACAGCCATGAGCCTTAACCAAAGGATACGAATGTTGCCTCGACCAGACAATCCTCTCTGCGATCTCTGCAAACAGCCTACAGGCTATTTTTGCTATTCCTGTGGAACGATTGTATGTGCAGACTGTCGACTTACCCCACAGGGTAAACAACGGATGTGCGAGTGCGTCTTGCCAATCGATTGCCTTGAGACCTCCAAAGTGAGAGCAGGAATGACCTCAGATGAGCGTCAGTTTTTATACGAGGCCATCCTCACACATGAGGACGTAGATTTGGCAGTCCAGAAAATCAACATGTATTGCGAACACGCAAGAAGCATGTTCGAAAAGGACCATCCAGGCGTAGATCCATACAGCCTTGATGATATCAGGAACAATCCTCCGAATACGTATGACAGCTCCACAGAGGCTCCAACCTTGGAGGAATATAAGAGCGTTAACAAGAGTCACATCAACATCAAGGACTCTAGAACAAGCCACCCGGCTTCTTTTCTCACTCTTACTGGCCACGAAGACAAACTGGTGCTCGATGCACATTACGAGATAGTTCGCAATAGGATGGCCGGTGTCAATGAGAAGAGAGAATACATTGAAGGCTCGAACCCAGATAGCGTATCGCTAAACCTAGTGGTATTCAACTGGGGAAATATGGATCGAGCGCCGGTGCCCGCAGGGAATCCCAAAAAGAAGCTCAAACCTGAGAAGGGATTCGATTATCACCCTCTTATTGACATGTGCTTCAACAATTCAGCTCATATTACCCTCGTACTCGAGGCAGGAGCACTTGCGTCAGAGTACTCAATCGCAACCATGCGAAAACACGAATACAGAGGGATGCTAATCCACTCTCCTCCCAAGGAGCCTGAGGCACCCTCAATGTACATCGGAGTCAAGGGTGACCCAACGACAGACATCGCTCTCGTCCACCACTTTTACCGTCATCGAACAATGAAGCCTAAGAATGGTGGTACCAAGAAGCGACTGTGGGCATGCCACGGTGCGGTGTGCCGCCTCACATTCGGGTACCACAGTACCATACCAGAGGCAAAAGAATGGGTCCACCCAAATTCTGGCCAAAGGATGACGAGAGACGAGTTCATGCAGATTATCGGATATGACCCGCTCAAGGGCAAAAATCCTGACAAGGATGGACCCACTGATGGCTCTTACCTCTCACCAGAGGCGTGCCTGACACTGTCGAACCTCGACCCTCCGCCGATTCTCTGTGAATGGAACGGCCATGTCGAGGGTGATGAGCCACCAGAGGAAGACTTTGAGACATACGCAGAGATCTTCTCACAAGAAGCATCTAACGATCTTGACGAGATGTGGTGTACAAAAGGGCCTTACAAGGTCATCACCATCGCGATCGTCCATTTCAACTCGTTCATGACTCATAAGGAAGAACAGAGACGCGAACTGGTGAACGCGTTCCTCAACGAGATTCTCCCTTTTAAACCGGATGTGATAGCGGGAGATCTCAATAATATTGCGTCGAGGCTCACCTTAAAAGGTGGAGACGTTCACCCGCGAAACAGTTTGTTTTCTCTATACCTGGAGAAGAAACTTGCAGCATTCAACAGAATAGCAGGAAGGCACTCACAAGTGCGACATCTTTGCTTGAACAACTCCGACCAGCACAGACTGGCACGTGCAGATCGTCTACCGGCGGACCCGGCGAAGAAAGTTGCTGACCTTGACTGTATCAACAGTTATATCCTTGACTGGAGTAAAACGCCGCACACGGCGTCACCTAGTCCAAGAGAGGTCACACCTGCCGCTGAAAGAACATACTGGGAACGAATCTCAGATATGTGGCAGGACACGAACAACAACAGGGATATTGATATCCGTCTGTTTGTTTCAGTCAAGCAGTACTATTCAACTTTTTCTAACCTTGACCTATGGTTGGGTCCCACTGACAAAGATTGGCACAGCCCATTGGGCTTCACGATACAACCAATCCTTACAAAAGGGAAACACAACCGGTCAGATGCCCAGGTCCAGAAAGATCGCTGACAAGCGAAAGGCTTACAAGCAGCGTAATGCTGAATACTGGGGTTACAACGATTCATTCGTTTACTCATCCGGCAACAGCTGGTACGACAAATCGCAACCATCAGGTAGCCATCACAGATATGGAAGATTCTGGGAGTGGCCACAGCCTGAACGTCCCAGCGAGCCTGAAGGTCCTCCTCCAAGAAGGAACCAGGAATCATCGTCCTCTTCACAACAAGATCTACCAAGATCAAGGTCCAGGCCTCAAAGAACCAATATTGTTGACAAGCTCAACATGTCTTTGGAAGAGCTGGATGGACTAGAAGAAGAACCGTCACCAACAAAAAGTGACATCGAAGAACACGAAAGAGAAACATCAAACTTGATGTCTGCTCAGAGAGATGAAGAGGAACAAGAGGACGAATCCTCCAGTCGGAGAAGAAGAAGGAAGGCATCGCGTCCACCGTCTGCTCCGAGCGGCAAGGCACTCAGAACAGCTGCTACAGCAGCGGGGTTGTCGGGCTGGTTCGGACACCGCAACCGAGGTGGAGCAAACGCAGAGTCTACCAAGACTGATGAAACTTCACTTCCAGACTCACTAACCAGTGAGCAAGACTTCTCCGTCTTCAGCATCACGTGGAATGTGTTCCTGCTGCTAATGGGCTTACACTGGATGTGGAAGCAGATTACCAGGCCTCCTATCAGATGTATGGAGCGCCAACAACCAAAATCAAGAGCAGCAGCGAACCAAAGAGTTCCATTCCTCGAACCCGAGGATGAACCGCAGACGCGTGAACCTTTAGGACCCAACAGGGTTAATTCCGGAGAAACAACTGATCTGCGACCTATTTGGCATACTTCCCGAAGCGAAGTCTACCATCTCTCAGACAGCTGTTACCAGCTTAAGCAAGCAAGAGATGTTTGCAGGAAGGTGCTGTGCAAAAACTGCCTCCATGCAGTACAAGTTGCGGAGATTCGCAGGAATGATCCTTTCCAAAGAGGTGATACACGACCACGTGGCACCGAAAGAGACATTGAGCGCTTCCAGACCTACGATGATGCAAGTAACACTCCTCACATGACACAATTATTCCAGGATGCCTTGCATGCACAAATGGCCGAGGAAGCCATGCAGATTACCTACACATCGATCCCTAAGGGATCCACGGCAAAGGCCAGAGGTACATCTGCACTCCCAAGTGCCGCATCGTCATCAGCGCCCAAGGCAATGCCACCAGGGCCTAACAAGGCTAACATGTCACCTCCACCTAAGAGTCCTCCGCCAAAGGCGAAAGGAACAGTACCTTCTGATCCTCCAAGACCAAAAGGTCCTACCAGAAGAGGAGGTCAAAATCGGCGTATTCAACGAAAGGCAGCTAGAGAAGCCCACAACAGTGGACTCTGCACCTATGCAGACGCTGCACTTGACCAAGCCAATCAAGGCCAGGCAATCAACGTTACGTGCCGAAACATAGTATCAAGACACGTCAGCTCTATCGATGCAACGGTAGAAGCAGCCGGTCAGTTTACACAACGCGTGCTACAGCACGTAGAAACATATGATGAAGAGGAACCGTGGAGCACGGAGTTCCTACCGATCGTGGAAGTCCTATTCAGGAACTTAAGCGGCGACGAAACAACTGTCATACATGACAATCAAACGGTAACTATGCCTCTTGCGAAATACACAGACCTCCTCAGAATCGCACAAGCATTGCGAGGCTCTATCCAGAGAGACAAGGAGGAAAGAAAGGAACATCTTGACACCATCCAAGATACTCTATCCAGAGTGGAAATCCTTCTCACAGCACTGAAGGACTCAAGGACAGTCTTTAATCAATTGGTCAATTCCTCACTAGAGATAGAGCGAAGAAATAACAATCTCAAAAATGTCCTCGAGACACTCTTTGATGACCAAAGCTCTGAGGAAGACCAATCAGAATCTGACAATGAAGAAGTCCTAACTCCTTCTGCACCACAGTACTGGAATAGCCTTTATGCCCACGCCTTATCTCCCTCAGGAGATGAAAGTGAAAGATCATGGGCGTCCTCAGACGGACAGCTTGAAAGAAGAAGGGCTGAACGGGCAAAGGCTAAGCAGCCGCAACCGGCAAAAGCCAAGGCAACTCCAGTCAGCTCACAAGCTGCTCCAAAGGCCGAGCCAAAGGCGACAACATCCAACCATGGATATGATACTGCAGATGCCGCCTTCACCAGGGCTGAGAACAGATTACTCGGAATCTTTTCAAGTTCCGAAGAAGACCACTCAGACCCGGATGAGCCACATCCGAACGTTTACGCTCGAGCCTATGATCCAAACCTGGATCCGAATCTGAGATAAGAAAATTCTCAGAGTTTCACAACAGTGAATCACAAGGCTCTAACAAGAGCACAATGAGTGGCTGCATAATTCGGTAGTAGAACATCACCAGACCTGATCTTGTACAGATGATCTCTCTGACAAATATGCATGAGTGTGTGTGCAAAATGAGTGGAGTGTCCTCAGCAGTGTACTTCAGTGCTATACCTAGCATACATAATATGCTGTTTTTATAATGAGTCCAAAACTCCGCAACTGTGACAGTGGGCATAACAGTATATGTGTGAATGTGCGGCCATGCTTTCGGTAAAAGAAAATTAGTGTCTGTTTGAAACCATAAACCTCTAAAGGGGTAGCTCTAACAGGTACCTACAGCAATGGCTGCATGCTCATACATATACATTCCGCTGCCCATTGGCTCACAGTGGTTTTACCATATTGAGACAAGACAAGCTCTCCTTGCGTAGCAAGACAAAACAACTACTGTCCGTGTGCAGGGCGCTGCCCTTTGATCCTTAGGGAATAAACTGGTCATACACCTCCTGACAAGGAGTATCCCTTGGGGGTGTATCGGCACAGGGGGGGAGGGGGGGGGGGAAAGGGGCGGGAAGGGGGAGGGGGGTGGAGGAAAAAAAGAGGGGGGAGGAGGCCTGGGAGGGGGCGGGTAGGCCCGCAAATCAAAGAAAATGAGGGGAGGCCGGGCAAGGGGGTGGCAAACGAGCGCAAAAACAGGGTGTCACCAAACATTTGAGGAGGATTAGGTGGAGGGTACCTGAGGTAACCACCAAAACGCCTGGGCCTGTGGCCTCGGCGGATTGTCTTAATGTTTTCCTGCAGACCAGTTAAGGCCTTCCAGCCATGCCGCCCGGAGCAAGAAAAAACAACACAGACAGAGCATGAAAAGAAAGACAGGCAAGGCAGGGGGGGAGAAGAAGTGGGAGCACGAAAAAAGGGGGGGAGGGGGCGGGAAAGGGGGGGAGGGGGGGGGGGGGGGAGGGGGGGGGGGGGGGGGAGGGGGGGGGGGAGGGGGGGGGGGAGAGGGGGGGGGAGGGGGGGGGGAGGAGGGGGGGGAGGAGGGGGGAGGGGGGAAAAGGAAAAAAAGAGGGGGGAGGAGGCCTGGGAGGGGGCGGGTAGGCCCGCAAATCAAAGAAAATGAGGGGAGGCCGGGCAAGGGGGTGGCAAACGAGCGCAAAAACAGGGTGTCCCCAAACATTCGGACTGCAGAGAGGAGGATTAGGTGGAGGGTACCTGAGGTAACCACCAAAACGCCTGGGCCTGTGGCCTCGGCGGATTAAGGAATATACCTTAAATTAGCTTAAGGATCCTACTATAATGTAAGGGATATTCCTGAATTAAGGGATTTTGGAAGGTCTGGGGGCTTGCAGGTTTGCGGCTTTAGGGTTTAGGGCTTACGGTTTAGGGTTTTAGGGTTCGGGGTTTAGGGTTTTAGGGTTTAGGACTTATGGTTTAGGGCTTTAGGGTTTAAAGTGTAGGTAGGGTTCGGGTATCGGGTTGATAGAACTTAGAGTGTGGGTCAGCCAAATCCGAGATCCTTATTCGGGCTTATCCTTGAACCCTTGGCGAAAGATCACGAATGAGAGTTGACTTGTCAGTTGGCCAGGGCCTGCGGTTGGTTGCGTCGTGCTTTTTCAGGGGGGTTGCAGGGTTTTCTGGATTACCAGGACACACACGTTTTACCAGGGTGTTTGAGCCTCGTAAAACGACTCCATAAGTTGAGCATATTGGTCGTATTGGGTTTGTCGAGCGTTGCAGTGGTCCCTAATCCTAAACCCTAAACCGTGCTGTCATGGCACAAAACCCAGAACTATGACATCGAACCCTTGAAAAAGCCATTGATAAACAGGACCAACCCTGCACAGCGTCGCATTAAAATCCCTTAGGCTCTGTAAGGAAACCCCTATAGAGACGCTAATCGAAATCCACTAAGAATAACCCGTAAAGCTTTAAAGCATTAAACACGCTTACGATACGCCCTTGTACATCCTCAAAGCAAGTTGGGATTCTGACATGCCCCGTCATAACAAAAGATACACAGTGGTCTGAGAAGAAAGCACCGTTCCGAACCGGCCTGTGCAGCAATCCTGCGGTTTAGGGTTCGGTTGTAGGATTTTGATCGCGAAGGTCAGGGGCAGTACCGGAACAGCTCACTGCACAGCGGGACAAGATGACAAAGGAGGCGGGGCGCAGGGCTTCAACAGTGTCACAATAGCCTGTGGGGGTTGTAGCACGCGGTTCCGCAGAGTCCGCTGGAATGGCGCCTTCCATCACTATATGGATGTTCACCAGGGCCCAAAAGGGCATAGTGCTGAATCTCCCCAACCCCGAGAGGAGACCCTAAGGACCCCGAGACGGGATGCATTTTTGTAAAGATCACCCCAGTTTCGGTTGGGAAAGTCAGATGCAGCGTTAAAGCTTCCTGTAGTTTTTTGTATACTACGCATAGGCCGCATAGTAGTTCCTTTTGCCATTAATTACCTTTTAGAGTTCTGAGTATGAACCCCGAAAAGGAACTACTTTGGGGCCTTGCTTAAAGGATCATGGGACATAGTAACGAGGGTTATAATGATGGTGACTATACTTATAATTACATACAACCCTACTTAGGGTACTTATATCCATACTTACTAAGTCCCATGATCCTCCAAGTAGAATAGAGCCGTGCGAGGCGATGCAATGAGGGGTTGCCAGGATTTGTTTATCTTGTCGGTCGTCTTGGGGCCTAGCCACAGGGCTCGCTAAAGGGATCTATAGGGTTCCTTGAAGGGATCTATCGGGTTTAGGGTTTAGGGCCTACTTGGAGGATCATGGGACTTATTAAGTATGGTTACAAGTACCCTCAGTGGGGTGTTATGTCGTTATAAGTATAGTTACCTCAATTATAACCCTAATGACTAAGTCCCATGATCCTTTAGGCAAGCTAGCTTGAATATGGCCTTGGGACTATCGTTGGCAAAACTCTGAGCAATGATTTGCCACATATTACGATGATCAGGCTTTGAAGTCAAGCGCTCCACCTCTAGTGCATTGGTTCAGAAGCCTAGTCGCTTTCCTCTGCAGTAGAATCCAGAAAGTTGGAACCTCATTTTTCCCACACCTTTAAGGTAAAGTAGAGGGAATCCCCGCGCTAGTCATCCTAAATCCATGTTCCAACTTTCTGGGGTTCACTCTAAAGGTTAACTAGGATGCCCAGTAGTACCCTTATTCCCTTTTTGTAGTCCTAGGTTCCTTATAAAGTTACCCAATACCAAAAAGAGAGGCCTTTTTATTCTTAGGTTACTGGGTATCCTAGTTAAGCACATTGCATCCTCAGACCTATGTCCAGCCTTACGAGGCTGTCGAAGATCGGATGCGAGTCAGGGTTTAGGGTTTAGGGGTTTAGGGTTTAGGGTTTAGGGCTTAGGGTTTAGGGTTTAGGGTTTAGGGGCTTAGGCTGTTGGAAAAGGGACTTCCGGCAAATGCCGAAACTGGGAGAACTAATCTCGAAAGCCTGTCTCCGGGATTAACGGATTTCACAACTCAGGTACTCGGGGTTGGGCACAGTAATATAATATTGATGGGGGGTATAAGATTCTTAGGCCCATGGACCCTTTGCGGTAGATTCCAGGCTTATGTACCGTATAAGCCCCATAGCTGAGCAAGCCCGAAACCCCAAACCTGCCAGGCCCTCTACCGTAACCCTTACTTACATTAGGCTAGGCTAACGAATGGGACTTAGGGTTCCTTAAAGGGATCTATAAGGGTTCCTTATAATGGGATCTATAAGGGTTCCTTATAATGGGATCTATAGGGGTTTAGGGTTTAGGGCCTACTTGGAGGACCATGGGACTTAATAGGGTTATAATTGGGGTTATAAGTCCCCTAAGTGGGGTTATCCTAATTATAACCTACTTATAACCCTACTTACTAAGTCCCATGAGCCTTTAAGTAGGCTAGGCGAACGAAGAAGACTTCTGGAGGTGGCAGTGCGTGAGAAAGCTCTGGAGCAGATGGAAAGACAGCTCTACAAGGCTGTTTCCCTTTCGTTGGGTTTCGGGTTTGGGCTTCCCATTCTTTAGATGAAATTTGAAATATCAAGTAATAATCGTCGACGTTCGCAGCAATACACGAACTAGTCATGGCACTGAGTGCTAAGGGTTTCTGTAATCGAAGAATACAGTAGTTCTGACAGTAACTCAACGAACCATGATGCTAAGGGCTCGACTTCCTCCTTCCTCGAACAATCGTAGGCTTCCTAATCAGCGAATACAAGAAAACGAGGACTTCTAGTTCTGCAAGGGTTGGATTTGAGGTTTCACTTCCTGGAAAAGGTCGACAGATTGCCACGTACTTAGAGGATCATGGGATTTAGTAACTAGGGCTATAATTAAGGCCACTATACTTATAATTACATATAACCCCACTTAGGGTACCTATAACCTTACTTACTAAGTCCCATGATCATCCAGGTAATTAGTCCCTAAACCCTAAACCCTATAGATCCCTTTATTGAACCCTATAGATCCCTATAAGGACCCCTTAAAGGAACCTTACTGACAGGTAGTCGTGCTAGGCGGCGCGGTGGTAACGACCTCCGCGCAAACGCAACCTGGACTACCCGCCACCAGTAGTCCGGATGCAGAGCTGAGGGGTATGAGCCGGGCCTGCAGAGAGGCCCTTAGGGTTGAGGGGGTTTAGGGTTCAGGGTTTAGGGCTTAGAGTTTAGGGTTTAGGGTTTAGGGTTCAGGGTTAGGGCTTGGGGTTTAGGGTTTAGGGTTCAGGGTTTAGGGCTTAGGGTTTAGGGTTTAGGGTTCAGGGTTTAGGAGTTAGGGTTTAGGGTTCAGGGTTTAGGGTTCAGGGTTTAGGGTTTAGGGCTTGTTTTTGTGCCGACCTTGCGGTCCTGGACTTTCGACTCGAGGTCGAGGTGTCCAGGATATGGTGAAAACAGCTCCACCGGGGTCACCGCCGCCAAGAGTCCAAGGGTAACAGGAGGGACCCTCAATAAGGACCCCTATAGGTATATAGCCTTAATAGCCCATTATAGGGTAGGGGTCCCCATTAACTCCTTTTCCCCTTTGAAAGAGGATCGGACCGGGGAGCAAACTTCGCCACCTGGGGTGTTTCTGAACTTTTCCCTAAGCCCTAAGGGTCCATGTACTCATATGGTATATACATTGCCCTTAAAGTACTCCCAATATAGGTACATTGGGCCCAAAGTATATGCTATATGGGCACATGGACCCTTAGGGTTATGTTCAAGGAGAGGCCGGCAAGGCCCTACTGCGAAAAGTCAAAGGCACGGAAAATCCAGCGAACTACCCGTTGGGGTTGCAGGCCATACACATACATACACATACATGCACAAGCACGTGCATACACATACATTCACATACATTCACATACATTCACGTACATTCACATACATGCACAAACACATACATACACATTCATACATATACGTATACATATACATATATATGTACATGTTATGTATGTTTATGTGCGGGTATCATGTATGCATGCGTGCATGCATGATTGCATCTATGCGTGGATGGATGTACACGTGCATATACACTGTCTCGCTGTATCACTATATGTTCCGATGCTACTGACAGCGTCTACGGGGATTGATGCCTGGGATTTCGGCGTTTCGGCATAGAGTCCGGCCAGACTTTGGATTTGAAGTTTAGAGGGTAGGCTTCGGATTTTTGCATCCAGCTGCAGGTTTGGTGGCTGATGTAGGGGTTGGCTAGTTTGCTGGCCTACTCTGGTCAATGCGATCCCCGATCTTCAAACTCCCTCGCCCGAAGCCCGAAACCCTGAACCTTGAATCCCCGAGAGCCCGACTATGCTCCCCAAAACTTCCAACCCAAAAACCACACAAGCCGATAATCGGTTTACATTTTAGGGTTTAGTGGTTTACGGTTTCGGGGCCTAAACCAAAAGGCTGTGCAGAATCGTCTGCGTGACCGGGGATACGACCCGCAACCTGGCAGCATGCTGAATGTGCGTCTGCGGGGCGTTGGGTTTAGGTTTTTGCTGTTTTGGGGTTTAGGTGGGTTGCAGGGCCTATTCAGAATTTAGGTCGTAAGTTTTAGGGCCTAGGGGTTTAAGGTGTAGGCAGGTCAGGGTTTAGGTAACAGGTTTTAGGGCTCAAGGATTTAAGGTGTAGGCAGTTTCCTGACCAGGTATGTGGCTCCTCCTCGGTTCTTGGTTACCAGTCATGTGGTTGCGACAGCGAAGAAGGAATCACGGTAACAACAACAGTCTGCAAAGAAGGGCTGATGCAGGGTGCAAACAGATGTTTTTTCTGCCAGGGGACATCCTTCTGCGAAGGGTCGTCGCCCTTGATATGTTTAGGTGCAGTACAACCCCGGCAAAATACCCGAAGCTCATACATACTATCTCCGAAATCCGACACTCTAAATCCTGAACTTCAAAACCCTAACCCCTAAACCCGAAGCCCTAACCCTACTTAGAGGATCATGGGACTTAGTAAGTAAGGTTATAAGTAGGTTATAATTAGGATAACCCCACTTAGGGGACTTATAACCCCAATTATAACCTACTTACTAAGTTCCATGATCCTCCAAGTACACCTTAAACCCTAAACCCGAAACAACAGTTCCAGATCTGAGCCGTTGGCTTTCAACGTCAGTTCCCTTGAGCCTCCAAAACCTCTTAATTAAGGAATATACCTTAGGGTTCCTTTAAAGGGATCCTTAAAGGGATCTGTAGGGTTTAGGCTTTAGGGCATTCTCATATCCCTTAACTATAAGGAATATACCTTAAATCATATTAGGGATCCTATTATAATTTAAGGTATATTCCTTAATTAAGGGGTTTTGGAGGCTCTGGGTTCCCTTGAGGGCCCCATGCCGGGACACTCTTGTGTTCACGGGTTTTTGAAGGGTTGTAGACATGCTTCATACGTTTTTGTTTGTCAGTTTCAGATTGGAGAAGTCATTCAGGGGTTAAGTTCAGTAGTAGGATTTTGGGGTTTTATGCTTTTTGAAGTGGGTTTAGAAGGCCATTGCAATTTCGGCTTGTAGTGGTTCGGGTATTCACCGTATTCTAAAAGCGCTAAACCCCCGAAGCTAAACCCTGAACCTTTGTAGGAACCCCTGTCACATCTTAGAACCCACAACTAGGATGCCCAGTAGTACCCTTATTCCCTTTTTGTAGTCCTAGGTTCCTTATAAAGTTACCCAATACCAAAAAGAGAGGCCTTTTTATTCTTAGGTTACTGGGTATCCTAGTAGAACCCACAAAGAGACCCTGGAAAACCCAGACGCTCAGGAAGGGCTTGCTGCCAGCAGCAGGTCCCAGAGGAAGCCCGGCACTGAAGCAGAACCCAGACCTTCCAGAATCCCTTAATTAAGGAATATACCTTAAATCATATTAAGAATCCTACCATAATTTAAGGGATATTCCTTAATCAAGGGATTTTGGAAGGTCTGGGAAATGTGCTTGTAGGGCTTTGCGGGTGCCTTTCAGGGTTCCTCTATAGTAGAAGCCAGAAAGTTGGAATATGGTATCAGGGTAGGATACCCTATAATTTACCACAAAGGGTTTAGGATAACCATATTCCAACCTTCTGGCTTTTGCTGTAAGGGTTTAGGTTTTTTTTTTGTTTTGCTTGTTGGCTTACGGATTAATGGTTTGGTGTTGTTCGTCTCATGGTTGTCGGGGTGTACTTCAAGGGTTCCCTGAAGCCTGAAGGTCTCTTATATAGGGCCCCCAAAAAAGCACATAAGCAAAAATTAGGATAGGGATATCCCATATAAACCCGCTTATAATGAAGCCCATTAAGGTAGGGATGTCCCTATAAAAGCTTATGCTTATGTGCTTTTTGGGGTCCCTATTATAGGGATACAGGGCTTGGGGCAGGGATTTGAGGCTTTCGGGCTTTGGGGTTTCAGGTTTATTTAAACAGCTTTTTGTTTCATCTAAATGAGTTTGGTGACTTGTGAGGTTCTATATGTGTTCTGGGTTTAGGCTCTCTGGTTTAAGCCTGAAGGGCTTTGAGTTTGGATCTGAGAATTTGAGGTTTAGGCTTTTAGGTTTTAGGGTTCACAACAGGGTATCTGCTAGTATTCATCCTCTTGTTCAACGTGTTGCAGAGGGTTTACTCAGCTGCGCTTTCTCCAGATTCCTGTATCAATTTCTACGTCGTGCGATTTGTTTGCTGCCCTGCATTGATAGTATTTTCTGGACATTCTCTGTCAGATTTCCGAACCTGATGCATGATGAGAGCCCTTGGGGACAATCGGAGCATGCTGTATGTCACAAAAACAGCAATGAGTTTAACTCCTTATGGTACCTCGAGGGGCGGGGCGCGCTGACATTCTGGCTGCCTAGCTTCTATATGTCTTTCAGGCAAATCTATACCCTGCATCGTGGCTGCGCCCAGGTTTCGAAAGGCAGTTACAATTACAATATCCAAACCTCGGAGCCCACTCCTTTTCTGTTTTGTTGGGTGCATCGTGTTTGGCTGTGGACGCTCCAAGGAGGCACGCTGCAAGTGAGTCTGTAGGGTTTATAGGGTTTAGGCCTAGGGTTTAGGGTGAACTCGGCGCGCAGCGGGTGCGTGGGCACGTTTTTTGCTGCTGAGCAACACATCCTCCGCAAAATCCGCAGCAACCGGAAAAGTGCGCCCGCGCTGTTAAAAAAATGCAACAACGCGCCCCCCCACGCTTCCCCGCCTCAATCCCACGCTCTGAAGAACACCCTTTTTCAATTTTTCAACCCCACGAGAAGTTTCGGTCACACGTCCAGGGTTTCAGGATGTTTCAGGTTTAGGGTCTTCAAAGACACAATGGAGACTCTACACAAGCCTTTAAAATCATAAGACCGTTGAACTCTCTACCCTAAACCCGAAGCCGCAAAACCTAAACCCTAGAAAAAATCAAGTAAACCTCGAAACCCAACCTCTCCGCCTGTCCAGTTGGTGCACCTGCGACGGCACCGGCCCAGAGTTCAGGCCGTTAGGGTTTAGGGTTTTAGGGTTTAGGGTTTAGGGTTTAGGGTTTTAGGGTTTAGGGTTTGGGGTTTAGGGTTTAGGGTCTAGGGTTTAGGGTTTAAGGTTTAGGGTTTAGGGTTTGCCAGTGTTGTGTTTGATTGCGTATGGGAATTTGTAGGGTCTAAAACAGATGTCATGCATTTTGGACGGGTTTGCTGGCATTCAGAAAAAGCTTTCGAACAGCTTCATAAGAGGTTTTATGTCCCCTAAACCCTAAACCCTAAACCCTAAAACCCTAAACCCTAAACCTAATCTCCGTTTGCCCAGTGGGGCCGGATAGGTACATCCTCCTGGCGCAGCCATGCACCTACCAGTGGTCTTGAAAGAAGCTCAAAACCTGAAAGGTTTAGGGTTCAAGGTATAGGGCAGGTCTTTGTTCGTTGGTTAACTTGCTATTTGCTGATCCGCTCGTTGATGCCGTTGCAAGTTAGCACTGTTACAGGTATAGGGCATGTACAAAGCATTGTAGAAGCAAGGTTCTATACTGTAATACAGAGGTCGGGTTCAAGTCAGTCTTATTGTTTCCAGGCTTTAATTTGTTTATACTATCGAAATAAGTAAGGCCATATATGGGTAGTTGTCAAAATTATGGCCCCTGTTTTGGGTATCCTAAATATCAGGTGCCGTACTATCCTAGGGACCCAAAAAGGCACCATAATCTTGACAACTACCCATATGCATATATATATATATATATATATATATATATTCTTAATTACCTCCAAGGGTAAAAGGAGGGACAACCTAGGTATATACCCGTAACATAGCCATTATATATCCATTAAAAAGCCCATTATAGGGTAGGGGTCCCCATTAAGGGTCCCTCCTTTTTCCCTTTGATTGCAGCGTTGAGTTTCGTGGAGGCAGGTTTAGGGTTTAGGGTTTAGAAAAAAGTAAACACTTAGTTTACCCTCCCAAATCCAAAACCTAAATCCTGAGCCCTAAACCCCCAAACCCTAAATCCTAAACCTAAATCCTGAGCCCTAAACCCGACGCCCTAAACCCAAGACCTAAATCCAGAACCCCTTACACCCCAAAGCTCAGGCAGGGCCTGACGGTGAGGGTTGAGGAATGAGTTTCCTCGTTCCTCAGCCCCCCAACTTGTAGAGTTTTAGGGGGGGGTTTAGGGCTTGGGATTCTGAGCTTCGAAGCCCTACAACCCAGAATTCCTAAGCCGAAGCCCGCTACCCTTGGCTTCAGGCGCGTCTTCTTCCACGGCATCTGCACCGCAGAGAGCTAGCTCGGAGGCAGCTTGGGGGTCGGGACATGCAGGTTTAAGGTTTTTGGGTTTAGGGTTTAGGGTTTAGGGGTTTAGGGTTTAGGGTTTAGGGGTTTTAGGATTTCACGTGGATGTTGGGCTTCACGGCGCTTCAAGGTTTCGGTTTTGCAGGGGTTTTCAGATTTGTAAGGGTTTCACCTGCTTAGTTTCGGGTTGTACGGTTTAGGGTATAGGCCGCTACGCAAGGGGCTTTGGGCTTGTATTCTCGCTCGATCTCACCAAAGGAATTAGGAATGATTCATAGAACTTAAAAAAGCAACAAAAGCCGAGAGGGTCCATATACACTACTAGTATGGAATTAGGGCTTCAAAGCCATAATGAGGATGGTCGGGCTTTTCTTAGGGTTTAGGGTTTAGGCTAACTGCCTAAGTTTTATACATGTCCAAGGGTAAAAGGAGGGACCCTTAAGAAGGACCCCTAGGTATATATCCGTTATATAGCTATTATATACCCATTATATAGACCCATTATAGGGCAGGGCTCCCCATTAAGGGTCCCTCCTTTTCCCCTTTGAACATGGACCCTTTGGAAACAAAGCAACTCAAGCGATCACTGAGGTGCAGCCCGCAGTGCCCGCAGGCTCCACTTCGTTCGATGCTCTGCAGGCTGCAGGGTTTCTAGGATGCCCTTAAAGGGATCTATAAGGGTTCCTTAAAGGATCTATAAGGGTTCCTTAAAGGGATCTATAAGGGTTCTATAAAGGGTTTAGGGTTTCCGAGAATTAGGGTTTCTAGGATGCCCAGTAGTACCCTTATTCCCTTTTTTGCAGTCCTAGGTTCCTTATAAAGTTACCCAATACCAAAAAGAGAGGCGTTTTATTTCTTAGGTTATATACTGGGTATCCTAGGTTTAGGGTTTCTAACCAGCAGGCTGTAGTAAGGTTTACCCATGATTGTAGCAGGGCTTGGAACGGGACCCTACAAGGGTTCAATATGTAAGGGCAGCTAGGCCCTAACCATGAATCACTGAGACGCTAAAGCCTTTTAGTTGTTGCATTGGGCTTTGGAGGGTTGTAGTTTAGGGTTTAGGGTTTAGGGGTACGGATTTGGGCTTTCAACTGAAAAACCCCAAATGCGCCCAACCAAATAAATACAAACGCACAATTCCTAAACCTGAAGCCCGAAACCCTAAACCCTAAACTCTAAGCTCTAAGCCCTACAAACCCTAAACCTTACCATAACACCCTTAACAAAAATTGTCGCAGGAGGCGCTGGGCTTGGACGATCGCTCGGCTAAGCGCCTGGCTGCCCGGCTGCGTTCGCTTCCCAAGGCGGAGCTGAAGAGGCTCCCTTGGGACCTTGGGGGTTTAGGGTTGATTCCTTGTAATTATAGTGATGCCTGACTCCTTAAAAGGGGCCTATAAGGCTTTCTAAGAGCGATCTACAAGGGTGCTCGTAAGGGCTATTTTGTAGAGATTCTGTGTGGCTCTTGTAGGAACTAGGACTTCAAAGGGCTGTGGCGTTGACGGGTTCGCAGACTGTATAGGTTTACTCAGTTTGTTAAACAATGTTTTCAGAAAGAATGTTATAGGGGCATGCAAGTTGTCGGGTTTCTAGCAGGGTTCCTATGGGGGTGTGAAATTCTTAGAGGTTTCGGGGTTGGGTGTTGAGAAATCTACGCCCTAGTACTTCAGATGGGGTTAGGACTATAGGGTTTACGGACTCTTGGGTTCGGGACTGCCACTGCCCTAAAACAGACAGTCTCAAACACCAGAATCGGAAAGTACCTTGCGACACCTGGCAAAAGCTCACGGAACTCCAGAGCACGCAACCCAGGAGCCCGAAACCCCTACATGTAAACCCTGTAAGCCATCTCAGACCTACTTGGAGGATCATGGGACTTCAGTAAGTAAGCTTATACGTACCCGAAGTGGTCATATAAGTAGTTATAATCAAGTACAGTTGCCTTAATTATGACCCTAGTTGCTAAGTTCCATGAACCTCTACGTAGTGCTAAGCCCGGGACATCCCCAAACCCTCAAGAAACGATTTAGGGTTCAGGGTTTAAGGTCTAGGGTTTAGGGTTTAAGGTTTAGGGTTTAAGGTTTAGGGTTTAGGGTTTAAGGTTTAGGGTTTAGGGTTTAGGGTTTAGGGCAAGAACCACCCCCAAACCCGGGAAACTCTGGGGGGCCTTTTTCTCCAGGCGCCTGCGCGTCCTTCAGGGACCCAGGGGTGCTGAGGACGACGAACCTGCAAGGCTCACTATCCATGTCTAGGATGCCCTTAAAGGGATCTATAAGGGTTCCTTAAAGGGATCTATAAGGGTTCCTTAAAGGGATCTATAAGGGTTCCTTAAAGGGATCTATAAGGGTTCCTTAAAGGGATCTATAAGGGTTCCTTAAAGGGATCTATAAGGGTTCCTTAAGGGATCTATAAGGGTTCCTTAAGGGATCTATAAGGGTTCCTTAAAGGATCTATAAGGGTTCCTTAAAGAGATCTATAAGGGTTCCTTAAAGGGATCTATAAGGGTTCCTTAAAGGGATCTATAAGGGTTCTATGAAGGGTTTAGGGTTTCCGAGAATTAGGGGCTAGGATGCCCAGTAGTACCCTTATTCCCTTTTTGTAGTCCTAGGTTCCTTATAAAGTTACCCAATACCAAAAAGAGGGGCCTTTTTATTCTTAGGTTACTGGGTATCCTAGCAGTAGTTCAGGTTTGAGAGTTTAGGGCTTTAGGGTTGCGGGTTTAGTTTAGGGTCCGAGGGTTCGGAGCCTGTAGGCGATGGTGGGTGTATAGGGCTTAGTAAGAGGGGCGTTTCGTGTGGGCATCCGGGCTAGACAGCAGAGTCCATGAACAAAATTTTCACACTGTTGATGCCCAAAATCCTACATGACCTAGATCATCGCATTCATCTCACGTCGCACTGTCCATTTCGCCGCAACCCCTTAGTTTCAATAGTGCATCGCCATGGGGTCATGCAGGATACGGGGCATTCGCACAGGCCTTGGTTTCAATCCCTGCGTCAATGCAACATTAATATTAGGGGTAGCAGGGGAGCCGTGGGGATGTTCAAATTCATGCAGGATGTTGTGCATCAGCCATAAGTATTTTGGGGGCTCATTGTTAAAGTTACTGTACATTGGGCCCAAAAACCTTATTCTAGTTATTAACGCCCCTAAATTAAGTGTTCAGGCCAGGGTAAGGAGGTTTCGGGTTTAGAAGGCCTTAAGATCTAGGTTTCGGGGTTTACGGCTCTTGCTGCTCACAGCTCACTGCTACTGCTTCTGCTGTTGCTGACGGCGTGCTACTTCTGCTGATTGCTAACTGCTAACTGCCGACGGCTACTGCTGCTGCTGCTGCTGATGGCTTAGCACTTACTGCGTACGGCTGACCGCTGACTGCTTCCTGCTCCTGCTACTGCTGCTGCTGCTACTCCTACTGCTACTACAATTTTTTATTATTACTACTACTACGACGACGACTACTACTACGCCTACTACTACGACTACCACTTCTACTACCACTACCACGACCACGACCACGACCACGACCACTGCCACTACTACTACTACTTCTACTACTACTACTACTACTACTACTACTTCTACTACTACTACTACTACAACTACTACTCCTACTCCTACTCCTACTCCTACTCCTACTCCTACTGCTCCTACTCCTACTCCTGCTCCTGCTCCTACTCCTACTCCTACTCCTACTCCTACTCCTACTCTTACTCCTACTACTACTGCTACTGCTACTGCTGCTACTGCTGCTACTACTGCTACTACTACTGCTACTACTACTACTACTACTGCTGCTACTCGTCCTCCTCCTCCTCCTCCTCCTCCTCCTCCTCCTCCTGCTCCTGCTCCTTCCTGCTCGTGCTGCTCTGTGTGCTGCCGTTGCTGCTCCTGCTACAGCTACCGCTGCTTCTACTTCTACTGCAAGTGCTACTGCTATCGCTCGTGCTGCTGCCACTGCTGCTGCCGCGCCGTTTGCTGCTGCTGCCGCTGCCGCTGCTGCTTGCTGCTGCTACTACCCCTGCCATTGCTTCTGCGATTGGCGACGACAATGACGACGACTACGACGACGACCACGATGCTGCTGCTGGTAATTACGAGGTGCCAATCCCATGCAGGCCCGAAGCCAAGCATTCTTGTACTGCTAGCACTTCACAGACTCGCCATGACCTACAGCAGAAACATTTTAAGATCGCGATACTTCCCACATGACGTATGCTGACATTCTCTTCTATGGCTGGTGCCAGCGTGTGCCAGCTGCCTGCACACGAAGCCAATGTGCAATCCTGACAACTCGTTACTTCCGGCTAGGACTCCCACAGTTGTTCTCAAGTGCATAAGCCGCCGGAGGAAACATCCCCGGCATTCGACATGTTGGCCATGGATTGATCAGAAGCGTGAGCCTCCATCATGTCGCTGACACTTGAGGTGAGCCTCATAAGTGGCAAGACTGTGTCACTTCAGACAACGGAGGACGAATCCGTGGAATCGCTGAGGGTGCGTGCACAGAGAGCCCTGGGAGCTGGCAAAGGTCGACTCTTGGACTCCGCTGGAAGCGTTCTCGATGGAGGAGGCCGCTCAAGAAAGCCAGGCTACAGCAGACGGCACTGACGCTGCAGGTTCGAAGGGTCGATGTATGTCGCCATTACAAGGCCTTTGCCGCGATTCTGGGGGATGGCTCCGTCGGGACCTGGGGCATTGCTGGCCAAGGTGGTGACAGCAGTGGAGTGCGAGATCAGCTGCAGAATGTGCAGCAGATTCAAGCAACTTCGAGGGCCTTTGCTGCGATCCTCGCGGATGGCTCCGTCGTCACTTGGGGCGATGCTGGCGACGGTGGTGACAGCAGTGGAGTGCGAGATCAGCTGCAGAATGTGCAGCAGATTCAAGCAAACGATTGGGCCTTTACTGCGATCCTCAGTGGTGGCTCCGTCGTCACTTGGGGCGATGCTGGCCACGGTGGTGACAGCAGTGGAGTGCGAGATCAGCTGCAGAATGTGCAGCAGATTCAAGCAACTTGGAGGGCCTTTGCTGCGATCCTCGCGGATGGCTCCGTCGTCACTTGGGGCCATGCTGGCCACGGTGGTGACAGCAGTGGAGTGCGAGATCAGCTGCAGAATGTGCAGCAGATTCAAGCAACTTGGAGGGCCTTTGCTGCGATCCTCGCGGATGGCTCCGTCGTCACTTGGGGCCATGCTGGTTTCAGTGGTGACAGCAGTGGAGTGCGAGATCAGCTGCAGAATGTGCAGCAGATTCAAGCAACTTGGAGGGCCTTTGCTGCGATCCTCGCGGATGGCTCCGTCGTCACTTGGGGCGATGCTGGCCACGGTGGTGACAGCAGTGGAGTGCGAGATGAGCTGCAGAATGTGCAGCAGATTCAAGCAAACGGTTGGGCCTTTGCTGCGATCCTCAGTTGTGGCTCCGTCGTCACTTGGGGCCATGCTGGCCACGGTGGTGACAGCAGCGGAGTGCGAGATCTTAAACCTGCCTCATTGGCAGCGTCTCCCGACCGTTCGGATCGAGTCCCCTGGTGCTAAATTTCCCCATGCTGAGTTTGAAAAGCAATCTTTGCTTATTGCCGACCTTGCCAACCAAGTCTCCCGTTCCTGTAAACCCGAAGCCAAACCTAGAGGCTCATACCCTACCCCTTTTTTATGATACCTAGTCTTATGGTTAGGATCTGTTATCTTAAAAATAAGGCGCCCTAAAAAAGGGGTAGGGTATGAGCCTCTGTATCATCTTGGCGTTCTTCTGGTTGGCTCTTTAGAATTTAACTTTTGGGTTTCTATATGAGGGTTGATCTAAACCCCCTTCTCTTGACTTTGCTCTACAGTGGCGATTTAATCATATTGTCACTCTGGACATTGCCTTCAAAACATGGTGTGTGCGCACGAGCGCGCAAGGGCGGGCGCAAGAACGCGCAAGGGCAGTAGATGTATGCTTTAAGCAACATGACATATTGCAACTAGCGGCTGCTGCAAATTGGGCTCAGACCGAAGCTTGCCGTGTAGTGAACGTCATGGCGCCACCGCAATGTCCGCAAAACTGTGCCATAGGCACATGCACTGGCCAGATGAAACCGTGCACCTTCAATGCACGCTACAACATCTGGACGGCACCGGGGGGCGGGGTGGGGCTGGGTGGGAGGGGGGTGGCCAGAGGTTGGAAAGCGCAAGATTCGATGCTCTCAGGCCATGGAGGGTCCAATTCCTGCGCTTTTCAACTTTCGCAGGTCCCGGGGAAAGGGGCGGGGTGGCCAGAGGTTGAAAAGCGCAAGATTTGATGCTTTCAGGCCGTGGAGGGTCCAATTCCTGCGCTTTTCAACTTTCGCAAGTCCCGGAGGGTGGGGTGGGGCGGGGTGGGAGGGGGGTGGCCAGAGCTTGAAAAGCGCAAGATTCGATGCTCTCAGGCCATGGAGTGTCCAATTCCTGCGCTTTTCAACTTTCGCAGGTCCCGCGAAAGGGGCGGGGTGGCCAGAGGTTGAAAAGCGCAAGATTTGATGCTTTCAGGCCGTGGAGGGTCCAATTCCTGCGCTTTTCAACTTTCGCAAGTCCCGGAGGGTGGGGTGGGGCGGGGTGGGAGGGGGGTGGCCAGAGGTTGAAAAGCGCATGATTTGACGCGTTCAGGCCGTGGAGTGTCCAATTCCTGCGCTTTTCAACTTTCGCAGGTCCTTGGCCAATTTGCCTTTGGGCGCCAACTTTCCAAAACGACAGATCTTTCAACCCCTTATTTGCCTTCGGGCGAATTCCGAAACTCTCGCCGATTTTTGGCCAAAATCCTAAACCTTCTCCCAAACAGATGATTTTTTCAACCATCTGCAGCAATAGGGTTGATGAGGTTTATGGTTGCGGGTTTCCGGTTTAGGCCCCGTAATTCCTCAACTCCCCAAACCCAAGCCCTGCGGCGGTGAATTTTCTCAGGCATAAATAGACTCCAAAGATGTGCGTTCCTCCGAACTCAGTTTTCGGTCATTGGTCATGATCATACGGGTGAAAAAACCGTGTGCGCACAAGAAGCACGCAAGGACGCGCAAGGGCGGGCGCAAGGGGTATTAAAAGGTCACTCATCGGAACAATAATATCGATCAACCCCCATATGAAGTATAAGTTTAGGGTTTACAGGGAACGCCAGAAAGTTGGAATATGGTTTCAGGGTAGGATACCCTATAATTTACCTTAAAGGGTTTAGGATAATCATATTCCAACTTTCTGGGGTTTACTGTAGGGTTTAGGGTTTAGGGTTTAATAAGGAGGCTAAAAGTTTAACTCTTAGGAGGGGTTCTGAAGTCAGCCAAGTCATAGCATCCGCCAGCCTTGACCTCGAAATCCTAAAGCCTCTGCAAAACCCTTACGGAGAAGTGGGTTCAGGGTTCAGGGTTTAGGGTTTAGGGTTTAGGGTTTGAGTAGTTATAAGCAGGGCTACGGGTCCCCGAAATAGTACGGTACCCCTACAAAAAGACCCCTAGAAGGGACCCGAATTTAGGGTTTAGGGTTTAGGGTTTAGGGTTAATGGAGCCCTGGGAGTAGAACCCTTGTGAGAACCGCGCTCGGCCCGGATTGGAACCTTTAGAGCATGCCAGGAAGAGAGGCAGGCCAAAGGCTGCTGCTAGCCAGCCCAACCAGGCTATTGCAGTTCCTTCAAGGGGCTCGTAGAGTTTTGATTTGAATGTTTAAGGGCTTTGGGGTTTCGGGGCATAAAGGGAACTCCAGAAAGTTGGAATATGGATTAATGGCAGGATCCCCTATAAATTACCTTAAAGGGGTTACGATAATGATATTCCAACTTTCTGGCTTTTACCCTAGGGCCTTCAGGTTTCTGTTGGAGTTTAGGGTTGACCATAGCATTGGGCTATTATCATAGGCCCTTGGTGCTAGGCTTCGACGGCCATTATCTGCAATGATGCTTGCGGAATGTTTAGGGTTTAGGGTTTAGGGTTTTAGGGTTTAGGGTTTAGGGCTTGCGGAATGTTTTCCGAAACTCTCATTCTGGATCTTTCGTATATCGGACTATGATTGGCGTTCCGCTCGTGCAGCACCCTGACACAGGTTTGGACGGAATGACACCACAAAACCCACATGATCCCGAACCTCAGACCTATGGTTTGGACTGCAGAGCCTTTGGCACTCAAATTCCCTACAGCAAGCGTCAAATCGCAAGGGCTTCTGTCACTTAGGGTTTAGGGGTAAAGTCGTATAGTCGGTCGGGTGAGCATGCCCTAATTTCTAATCTTCATCTCTCAACCATAGACCTTACATCCTGAAGCCTGAAGTTTAAGACCTGTACCTAGATTCAACGTAAACGCTAAAGACAAACCAGGCCCTGGCTTTGACGAGCATGGCTGAAGAAGGCGTCCGCGCCGAGGCTCCGTGCGGCTTTCGGGGTTCCGGGGACCCTAAACCCTGAACCCTAAATCGGGGGAATAGTTTAGAGTCCGCATGGACAGCACTTAGTAGAGGCTTCCGACCTGAAACTCCGGTAGAATCTTGGTAGGAGGAGCACTTAAAAGAACCGTTCAGGGAACCATTAAAAGAAACCTAGGAATTCCCCAGGCTTACATCATGTCCGAGCCAGAAGTGGAGCTCTTCGGCCTCGCGTGTGGGGACGCTGCGCGATGTGCCCTGGCTTTCGGTCTCACGGGGTTGCTATTAAACCCTAAACGCTAAACCCTAAAAGCCCTAAACTCGAAATCCCAAGCCCTAAGCCCTAAACCTTAAAGCCCTAGCCCAGGCGTTTTGTGTCACTTTTCATAGCCCATGGTTCACACATATACCTGGACACTTGAAAACAAAGCATTGACTACCACACTTCCTACAGTTCCACCCTGAAAGACCTTTGCTAAACAACCCTCAAACATTGAGACAACGACAGTCTCATGCGACCCTTCTATAACACTAACACCTACAAGCTCCAAGGCTTGTTGTCGTGGAATAGGACCCTTGTAATGGTTACAGGGTTTCAGTAAAGGGCTCTTACTAAGAGCCCTTCACTGGAACCCGACAACCCCCTAAACTCCAAGCCTATAATTAGGGACCCAAAAAGCACATAAGCATAAGCATTTTATGGGGATATCCCTACCTTAATGAGCTTCGTTCTAAGGGGGTTTATATGGGATATCCCTATCCTGATCTTTGGTTATGTGGTTTTTTGGGGGCCCTAATAAAAGTCCGAGGCTTATTGTCATGGCTGGGCTTAGCTGACCACTGCTGCCTGCGCGCCAGCTCGCGATCGGCGTCGTCTGTGGTGAGGCCAAGCCTCGGACGTGGGGCTCCTGAGAGTGTTGCTTTCATGGCTTTAAGGAATCCGATCTATCCGGGTTGCGATGATTAGAGGTTCAGGGCTGGGTGTCCACAGGCTTCCTGAGCGGCTCTATAGGATTTAATTTCAATCTTCTGCAAGGGTTCCGAAGCGCTGATTATAGAGGTTTAGGAGTTAAGGTGCAGTTTAGGGGTGCCTTCGTGATCCTTGACGGGTCCCACTCAGGGATCCCATTGTCTTCTGTGAGGGTTGCGGTGTTGTATTCCTGTCGATCTAAAGATCACATCCAGTAAGTATGTGGTCATAGTCATTGTCTACTATGTCACTATGTTGTAGGGTGTTGGTCTATACAAAGCATTACGGTGCATGTAATGGCGTGCAAAAACACGATAGTATTCCCTTGAAGACCCATATATAGCGTGTCCCGCAAAACTGAAGTCAAAGATTTCAGGCGCCTATATTATGTAAGAGGCGGGTTTAGTTATGAGATTCGGGGGTTCTTCTGCACTTGAAAGAACAACAACAACAGCAACAACAGCAACAAGAAGATGTAAGCCAATTGAAAAAGCGCCCGCAACCTTTCCTCACCAGTGCTTTTACAACGCTCCAAGGGTCCAATGTAGCTCGTACTCTGGGTCGCATTGGAGCTGTAACAAGAGAGTTTCTGCGGGTTCAGGTATGCGACTTGGCTACATTGTCGCACCTTTGTCTATGTCTCGACCCAGCTCCTTGGCGAAGGGTTAAATTAAAAGGATGCACTCTAGAGGCGCTAATCAGAATGGGGTTATGGGGTCCGCCCGCCATAGTAACTAAGGGTTTCGCCAAGGGATCCAAAAGGCTTCTGTACGGATCTCAACGTAATTAGGGCTTGAGGTCTAAGGTGGCGATATAGTCAGTAGACCAGTGGGCTATGACATCTCCTCCTAGTCCGCATAAAAGGAAACTGTGATGCACCCCCGAAATCCCATCAACGTTGCCGAAGCCGTAGGCGAATTACGCAGCCCCTGAATCCTTTTAAGGACCCCATATTGCACCCCACAGCCGCTCAGCCCTGTACTCTAGAACCCCTAAACCCGAAACCCTACGCCCAAAACCCCAAACCGAACCAGCGAAGCCTTCAGGCTTGAGGGTTCGGGGCATTTATACAGGACTTAAGGGGCTTGTATCGGGCTAGAGTTGACGGTTTAGGCTTCCTTAAACCCTAAACCCCAAACCGAAGCCAAGGTTCGAACCGCGCTTCCAAAAGTGCAGCGCGCGGGGGCGCGTGCTTCCGCTGCCGTCCCCCGTGCTGCAACAAGATCGGATCGAAGGTTTCAATTTGATCCTTTAAAGGGGTTCTTTAAGGGATCTATAGCGTTTTATAGGATTTCTATAAGGAGCTATAATTTAACAAAGGGCTCCAAGAAGGGGCCCACAAAGGGTACTCTAGGGTTTAGGGGGTCTAGGGAGGGTTGTAAAAGGCTTACAGTAAAAGCCAGAAAGTTGGAATATGATTATCCTAAACCCTTTATGGTAAATTATAGGGTATCCTACCCTGAACTTTCTGGAGTTCCCTAAACCCTAAACCCTAAACCCTAAACCCTAAACCCTATTCCAACTTTCTGGAGTTCCCTTTAAGGCCGAGGGTGTAAACTAAGGGCCTGAGCAATTGCAAAGACTATTCTGTAGGCGGGTTCTATATTTGGGTTTAGGGTTTAGGGGTTTAGGGGTTTAGGGGTTTAGGGGTTTAGGGGTTTAGGAAGTTTAGGGTTTAGGGGTTTAGGGTTTAGGGGTTTAGGGGTTTAGGGGTTTAGGGTTTAGGGTTTAGGGTTTAGGAAGTTTAGGGTTTAGGAAGTTTAGGGTTTAGGGTTTAGGGTTTAGGGGTTTAGGGTTTAGGGTTTAGGGTATATGGTAATTAGAACTTAATGCCCTGATGTTCGAGTTTGAGTGTACATGTTTGGAGGTGGTGAATGGCTTTTTTGATTGCATGCCTTTTGTCGACTCGGGAGCAGTTTTTCTTCGTGATCAACTCGAATTCCTGGAACCTAAGCCCTAGTCCATCAGAACTCCCGAGACAGCACGCCCGAAGGCGAAAGAACCACCATAGGAGCCCTATAAAGCCTGGAAACAAGTTCTTCAAAACGCCCTTTGAGCTGCCCCAGCCCGAGGCCAGACTCGGTCAGCCGCCGTCTAGTCCGCTTCTTGAGCCCCTTGGCTTGCCTCAATGGTGCAACAAGTCCATAAGGTTCTATGAGGTTAAGTTTAGGGGTTTAGGGCAGGGTTTAAAGTGGTGGGATGAAGGATGTTTCATAGAAGCGCTTATGTTGGGATGGTCCGGAGCTTTCATAGAAGGGCTTATGTTGGGATCGACCCACCTACCTTCATCCCACCTCTTGACCCTTGGATATCCTCAAGGGTTCAACAGTTAGGTATGTGGGTTTAAGATCTTAGTCACGTAGGTTAGCTGTAGACGGCAAACAACTCCAGGATTTGTGCTGTGTGGGCTCCTGGATGCTCCCCAGGATAGTTCTTTGGTGTTCGTTCTTTTGTGGGGCAGTTCTGAGGTTGTGTTTGTTGTTGGTTGGGTTTTTTACGGCTTGTCTGAAAGACCGTTGCTGTAAGCACAAGGGTGGCAACACCAAAGTTGTTAGCCCTTTGTTATGATTGATTTTGCGCATGCTTTCAGCACAGAGGGTAAGCAAGAGGACCGCCAGCTTGCGTTGTCTGGCCCATGTGGAGCATGGATCTTCTCCAGCTGTAGGTTGAAATTGTAATTGAAGCAAGTGGCATTTGCAGGCATTATGCGGCGACTGGCAAGCAACCGAAAAGGCGGTGCCCCTAAACTTTGCAGTGCTGGGCAGCCTCCAGTGGGCTGGGAAGAGAAAGATGTGGCCAAGGCTGCACCGGTGGCCAAGGCAAAGGCTGTTGACCAGCCGAAGAAGCAGGTGTCAGGGGCTTGGCATGGAGCCCTTAATTGGTGCCCGTTTCCCGAACCGAAGCCCCCCAAAACCCCTCTTGTTTAGGGGTGTGTACAGCCAAAGGTTGAGGGTAGAGGGTATGGGGTTTAGGGCTTAGGGTCATCTAGGGTCGTTGAGAATTTAATGTAACGGTGCCATTAGGTTTCAAACACAAGGTGTGCAAAAGGGATCGACAACCAGATTCTAATCGTCATAAGGCTTCTATACCTCAAAGTGATAATTGTCGGCCCTTATATCCAGCTTTGTAAACTCCTGTAAACCCTATGGTCGTCGTTAAAGCCCAGATTCTAGACCCCAAAACCCAGGTCAGCCGCAGCATGCCGCCTTCATCGAGAGCTTGGACCTGCAGTTCCTGGTTGAAATTCTTCGAACATCTAGAGTTCGGGTACACAGGGTTTGTGGGGCTTTCGGGGTTTGTAGGGCATGAGGGTGTTTTGGAATGGCAAGACGGCTTACCGCCTCACCCATAGGCTTCCCACTGCCAAAGTAAGGAGCATGTGTATATTGGGAGTCTCCATGAATCCCTTAGTACAGCTGGCGCAGTCATGCTTTAGGGTTTGAAGTTGTTTGGCGGTTTCAGTGTCTCTTCTGCTACAGGATGTAAGGCTCCCTCAGATTCTAGATGAAGTGCCCATTCAGATGTTCAGATACTTTCGGGCTCAAGGGCTTCGGACTGTGTGGGTCGTTTCGCTTGGGTTTGCTTGGTGTAAGGTGTTGCATGTCTCATGCTTTGGGACGTTGATGACGTTGAGACCCTCAACATCTTAAAGCACCATTCCCTAAGATAATTCACCCCACAAACCTTTCCGAACCTTTACAGAAACCTGAAAGCCATGTTCAGCATCAAGCAACAACGACAAAGTCTAAAGCCCGAAATCCATATGTATCAAAGCATCTCAAAACAATCATCAAACGCAGAAGAAACAGCAACGCTGCAGAAACAAACACAGCAATAACAATGAACAACACGGCACAACCAAATGACAAACATACAAAAACCTGAAAGCCCAAGCCGTAAACCCCAAACCCAAAACCCCGAAACCCTAAACCCCTAAAGCCCCAAACCATCCTAAACCATCCTGAACCTCTACACCAATCCTAAACCCCTAAACCGTCCTAGGTTTGCCCCAATCGCGGCCTTGGAGTCGCCGGAGCTTCATCTGGCCCTGAGGCTTGGAACCTATCAGTCTTCTCAGGGTTCCGTTAAAGGAGCTCGGGTTAAGGGCTTTTAATAAAGGTACTGGGGTACTACAGTTTAGGGTTTAAGGTTTAGGGTTTAGAATTACTTAGAGCATCATGGGACTTAGTAACTAGGTTTTTAATGAAGGTAACTATACTTACAACTATACTTATAGCCCTACTCAAATTACCTATAACCATACTAACTAAGTCCCATGATTCTCCAAGTAGGGGTCGATTTACCTTCTTTCTACTTTATTGGCTGACTGACTAAGGGGCCTGCGACCTGTCGGCTCCTACAAGGGCTCCTTCAAAGGAAACCTGAAAGGGGTCTCTTAAGGGCTTCAGGGTTCAGCGATTAGGGCTTAAGGTTTGAGATTTATGGTTTGTGGGTTAGGCGTTTAGGTTTTGAGGTTTAAGGTTTGGCTGCTTTAGGTGGATCCATTCGGGGTTCTTTAAGATCAGGCCTGCTGAGGTTTCCCTTAAAACCGTGCTACCAGCATGTAGAACAGTTTTAGGCGGTGCTACAACTCAAAAGTCTACGTACCCACACACATACTATGGTTTTAATTGCTCTTGATACCTGTCTGTTAGTGTAGCTAAGACTCCAGAATTTCGTGAAGTTGAACACCCAGGGCCAGGGCAAGGGCTGCAAGGTAATATAGCAATACCGGTTGATCGTCCGGTGCTAACACAGATGTCGCCTTCCGACTCACTGGTGGAAGACCCAGGGTCTATCTACTTGTAGCCCCAGACCCTCCAAACTAGCACAGGGGTTTATCCTTGAAGATTCTTGGAAGTTGCAGCCACAGGTAAGGATTTCGCATTTTATTAGGTCACTGGGACGTTCGAGAAACTATACCCCGAAGTCAGCATCCGCAAAACTGCTGCACCCCTTGCTCCGAAGCCGATCCTTGCCTACAGGATCGGAGGATTTAGCAAGTAGCCTATCAGTAGTACTATATAATCCCAAACGCCAGCCAGAATCCTCAGTATGCGAACTCAGGGTTACTCCAGTTGCAGGGAAGAAGCCGCCAGTTCTACAGCTTGCGAGTGCACACACCCTAGTGCATAAGCTTAAAGGGGTTGGGGGTTTCGGGTTTAGAGGTCCCAAGCTTTACCGCACAACCTACTCGCGAAGTCCCCTGCGCCTTCAAGCAACTGCCCCTCGCGTGCAGGAATGCCATGCCACGCTTGGGCTCCGTGCTGCTTCCAACCGGCGGCCCTTTCGACAGAACAAGAGTTGTTTAGCCTGAACCCCAAACCGAGGGATTAGATCCCTTCATCCAAAACGACACTTCAAACCCCAATACTTCTCATCTGTAATTTAAACCCGAAATCCGACATCTGGTTTCAGTGCGGGTTCTGGGTTTGAGGTCTCTTGTATTGTCGTGGCTGCCAGGGGATTTTTGCGTGTCAGGGCTTTGGACAGGCACGGTTTAGTGTACAGGGACCACTGAATAAGAAAGTCCCTTCCTTCAATGAATTAGGATCATCATTATAACTACCCGTTTAAGGCACGGTAGGGGGTAAATGAATCCGGCCCTACATCACATGTTGTTATCCTGGGGCTTTGGGTCAGTCAGTCACCTTTGAACCTGCTTCTCTTCACAACGTCGTTGTCATGCCTCCGGTACGAGTTCAGCCCCACTGCGATCTAATTTGTTGTTCTCTGGTGCACCCTAGTGTAAGCCCTCAACCCTAAACCCTAAACAGGTAAGTGATCTGTTTTATCATTACCTGAACCTCTTGCGGTCGTACGATTCAAGAAGTCCCACCTCCACCCGCGGCCTTACCTAACACTTGTCGGTGTGCGTAGCATGTGCGGGATGCCTTCCATCGTGTGAGACCTTTGGTGCTTGCGACCTAGGTTGTCGGGATTAGGGTGAACAGGTTCATTTGGGCGTTGTTCTTGGGTGAGGTATCGTGGCCCCTATAACGGCAAGTACAGCGCGGCCGTCCGAAGACAATTAGGCCTAGTTCAGAAGCCTGAATATTGCAACTGCTACATTTCCTGGAGTACTGCTTAGGGGTCCTATGCTAACTATTAAGGCCTGCATGTTACAACGAGTGGCCGTCAAAAGACAGTAGGGCTTACAGGGTCCAAGGATCAAAGCATCGGCTTTAGGACCGAGGGCTTAGGATTTATGATCTGCGTTTAGTCTTTCGGCTTAAGGCTCTGGGTTGGGCTCAGGGAAAAGGAGATGCGGTTCTGGATGGAGATTCTTCAGTCTGGGCTTAGGTACTGTCGGTCATGAAGGCTTCAGGGCATTGGTTCTGGCCCAGTCGGTATTAAAGTCTCAGGGTGCTTGGCTCAAGGATGACGGATTTTGGTTGAAAGCGTGGGGCGACAAGGGCTTATGGTCCAAACGCGATTCAGCAAAATTCAATCCTGGGCCGGGTTTAGATTTCGGCATACATCAGAGTAAGTTGAAGGGTTTTCGCAACGTCTGCAATCAGGCTGGAGTGCCCCCTGTGAGCGGCAACGCTTGCTCGCCAACCTCGGGGCATTGGTTTCCGTGCCTGCGCTGCGCTCACATAAGTTCGAAGCCCTCCTTACTACAAAAGAGGTGTAAGTAACTAGAAGCTCGAGTACGTTCTCATGATTGAACGGATTGACGAAGACACTCCTCACAACATGCAAGCTTTGACCAGAGTTACAAAGCACCAAACGGTAAACCCCCAAACCCTTTCACCCCCACACCCCACAACAACGATCCTGGAGCCAGCTTGGCTATGAGAGTTAGGATTAGGGGGACCCGCGGGGATATAGACCCTCTCAGTAAGGTCCCTTTTAAGAGAGCCAGAAGTAGGGTTCGGAAGCGGTACCCTTTAAGGGGTCTCCCTCATCATGCTACCCACACAACAACGATCCAAATTTCTGGAGCCAGCTTGGCTACTACCGCAGAACATGAACCCTTGTAGTCAGTCAGACAAATCGAGGCTTTGTCGGGGCTCGGGGCCTAAACACTAGACTCTATACCCCTTTGGGCTTGGGGTTTGTAAGGTTTCGGCTTTTCGGGCGGGTTTCCAGGATCACGCGGTTCGGGCTTTGAAACAGAATATAGCTAAATCAGAATCTCCAGTATGGACCTTTCAACGGAACCCTATAAATGTCGAAGGGACCCTTTAACTATGACTTGCTAAGCAATCCTCAGCCCAAGAGCACTTCTTGTCAACCCTAAACACCGAAGTCCGATGCCCTAGACTTTATGCCCGCAACCCTTAAACCCTGAACCCAAAACCCTAAACCCTAAACCCCTAAACCCTGAAACCCTGAACCCAAAACCCTAAGCCCCATGCCCCGAATCCTTGGAGTCCGAAGCATCAACTGCAGGGTTTCAGGGTCTGGGTTTGGGGTGGTTTAAGGGTTTAGGGTTTAGGGTTGGGTTGGGGGTGTAGGGTTTAGGGTTTCGGGTTTAGGGTTTAGGGACTCGGGTTCGGTTGGGGGGTAACTAGAACTATATCTACTTGTAACCCCCATTGCGGTACTTTTCCCTTGTTGTACAAGCCTTGCAGATCCTGTCGTGGAGCCCTAGCACCCATTCTACGGAACCCTACTTAAAGGATCATGGGACTTAGTAAGTAGGTTATAATTGGGGTTATAAGTCCCCTAAGTGGGGTTATCCTAATTATAACCTACTTATAACCTTACTTACTAAGTCCCATGAGCCTTTAAGTACAACGGCTTCACAAAGTTAGCCCTCAACCCAGGTGAGCTTCGAAGGGCCTGCTCGTGCCAAAGGCGATGGGACGCTGAAGCGCCGAATGCTGAGAGAGCGGTTCCTGTATCGATTGCTGTAGGAGTTCGTTTAGGAGGTCGAAACGGGGTCTAAAAGGGTTCTACAAGGGTTTGGACTTTGTTTAGGAGTTTAGGATTTCAAGTTTGGGGCTTAGGGTTGCGGGCTTGAAGGGCACATTGTACAGTCTATAGGGTGGATGATATAAATCCTGCATGACCTTAAGGGCCCTAAACTATGGGAATAATGGTATATTCCTTATTATGGATAATGCAGGATTTATATCATCAACAGTAGGGTTTAGGATTTCGGGCTCAGGTTCTGTCGTTTGTCCAAAGGCTCCTTTTACCGGGTTTAACACTTTGCTATAGGGTTTGGGGTTTAATTCGTCAAACGGCTCCTGTTAAGCGGTCCTTGTACAGTATATTGCGTCCCTGAAAACCAACTGCGCAGCTAATGCAGACCAAGTGTTACCAAGACAGCTGTACTACTTGGAGGTTCATGGGTAGTTATAAGTCGGGCCTTACGTCCCGTAATGTGGGTTTTATATATAGTTATCCGAGTGATAAACCCTGTTTTAGCTAGCCATGAACCTCCAAGTACCTTTCCACGGCTTCTTCCTTCAAGCACTGAAGCCAGTCAGGACACGCTGCCTTTCATGTGCAGATGCGCTAAGACCCACCCAGTTAACTATCACGTGGGCCTGAATGATTGGCAATGCCGTTCCTTATGGGGTCCCTTCTCAGAATATAGTACAAGAAATACCAAAACACATTCAGGCAACACACACGGGAATCCTAACCCCCCAGGTAAAGGCCTAAACGCCCAAAAAATATCCCGAGGCCCCAAATTGGCCCTAAACTTAAGCAGCACCGGCATGCACACTAGCATAAGCAAGGGAGCAGGGGGAGCGAGAGCGAGAGAGAGAGATCTGGAGAGAAAGTGGAGAGGGAGCAAGAGCAAGCAATCTTAGTTAGCATGGGCTTAGTTTTGTGTTTTCAATTATCAATAGTCGAGTTTAGGGGTTTTCCAGGGTAGGCCGTCTAGAAGGGTTCTATAAGTGCTATGAAGCCTACTGTCAAGGTTTGCAGTTGTTTTGCAGATTTCCTGAGATTGTCTTTTTCAAGGATCATAGGACTTAGTAACTAGGGTTATAATTAAGTTTAAGGTAGCTGTACTCATAACTACTTCTAATCCCACTTAAAGTGCTTATAACCATACTTTCTAAGTCCAGGATCCTCCAAGTAGATCGTAGATCCACCTCCCAAGGGCTAGCCTACTACGACAAGAAGAAGGAGGCCAGTGACTCCGGTGGCGGTGGCGGCAGTGAGTCAGGGAGGGTACAGGGCTTGAAACGGGGGTATAGGGCCGAAGCGGCTTACGGATGGAAAACTATTGTTTTTTTCTGTGCAGCGGGTTTCGCGAGTTTTTGGAACACAGATGTGTAATTTTGTTGCTGGCACTTGGGGTATGACAGCAGACCTGCCTCTGCAGCTTTGCTTGCAGTTATCGTAATGCTTGTTCAGCTTTGTCAGGGTGTTTCTGTCATGGAATGTTCTGTGCGGCAGAGGCAGGGTTCGGTTCAAGGCAGGGGTTCGTGCCCAGACCTTCCAAAATCCCTTAACTAAGGAATATCCCTTAAATTATAAGAGGATCCTTAATATGATTTAAGGTATATTCCTTAATTAAGGGATTTTGGAAGGTCTGGGTGCGTCAGGGTTGAGAGTTAAGGTTTCTCCGATTTAGGACTCATCGTCGGAGTATCATGCGTCCCTTCAAGATGCTACAAGCTAAAACCTTATGGCACGCTTTAGCGAACTCTGCACGAATCCCATTCTCGAGCCCTCAGCCTCCCAAACCCGACTTGGAGGATCATGGGACTTAGTAAGTATGGTTGTAAGTACCTTAAGTGGGGCTATAAGTAATTATAAGTATAGTTGCCTTAGTTATAACCCTAGTTTCTAAGTCCCATGATCCTCTAAGTATTCTGATCATTCATTAAGCCCATGTGTTGACCCATATCCTTGGCTTCAAAGCCGTTTAATCCGAGGCTACCAGCTGCAAGTGTGTGATGCGCCCTCGGCATCCGTCGCCGCGTGGATTCAATTCAAGGGCTTGAAAAGGCTTGTGCTGGGTCTCAATAGGATGTTGTAAGGATTCAGTAAGGATTCTCAGAATCTTTATGGGGTCTGGGGCTTGTGGCTTAGATTTAGGGTTTACGTTTCAGGGAGGCCTTGTATTCGGCCTCAGCGGAGTTTTGGAAAGATCTGGCTTTGACATCATGTTAGTCAAGGGCCGTGTCCCTGGATGCTCATACAGGATCCGCCATGGACCCTAAATGCAGGAGAGATCTTCGCTGGTTGATGTGGTCCAACTTCAACATGGCAAGCTGCATGGCTTGCAGACCAAAGCTTCACGGCCGTTGCAGTGGAGGCCCTGCTACGGTGGACCGCATGCATCGGTGGGGTTGAAGTTCAACAGCACGCAACTTTCCTGTGCTTGCCAAGAGCTCGCGGCTTCCCCCAGCGCATGCAATTTCAGCATCCTACCGCTTCCCTAGTGGAACTAGTGCAGATGCCCCGTCCTTATCATCACGTAATCGAGCGTGTGCGAAGCGTCCTGGATACATTCTTCTTCCCTGCATAGCCCCCAAGTGTTAATCTATCTTTGGGGTGGAGCCCCCGCTTGCTCGATTCGCATGGGGTATTCGTGCAGTTGGGTTTCTTGAAACGGACTGTGCTACTACAATGCTACAACACTGCGCGTGACCCGGCACGCGTGGGAAAATGAGTGGCTGCCAATAATTGAAGCTGACAGGCGGGCCTCTAATCGCTTCCCCTTGCCCTAGGTACTTCGCTCGTGCAGCGGCTTTGGTACCATTATTATTCAAGCATGCTGCTACGATCTCTTTCCAGGGAGTAGGCATTGGCACAGCAGACCTCATGCGCAAAAACGGCATATCCTAAACGCCATAGAATTAAGGCTAATAGCACACCTAAATAGGTAGGCGGCGCTTAAGCCCCTCGACATCAATGGCGCCCAACAAGGTTTCGGTGGGGCTTATGGATTATCGCTTCCGGGGCATATTGTTTCGGGTTATGGTTGAACTGCCCCTGAAATAAGCATAATGATGGTGATGATCGTGCCAAGAGGCACTGAACTTCTTCAAGTACTCCCAAGAGGTAATCCTAGAGCCTTAAAACCCCCCACCACATGGGTGGTTATCAAAATTAGGGTCCCCTTCTGGATCCTTATTATAATACGGCACCTAATATTTAGGGTACCCCAAAAGGGACCCCAATTTTGACAACTACCCACATGTTACCTGTTATCCTCAAGGGGCCAGGCAGCGTTTTGGATTCAACGTCTTCGAAGTTGCAGGGTTTAGGGTTTGGGGTTTGGGGTTTAGGGTTTTGGGTTTTGGATTTAGGGTTTAGGGTTTGGGGTTTGGGGTTTAGGGTTTAGGGTTTAGGGAAGGTGTTGCAGCGGATCATGGTTCCGAAGGCGATCACTGCGACAAGGGCAAAGGCGAAACCTTTGCCAAGCTCATGAGCTCCGGCGGGCTCCCGGAACCACTTGTATAGCAACCCCCCGCAAGGCACGAGCTTTCGCACGTTTCGCACACAGATGATCAACAATCTCTTCGTGCGAGGCAACGAGGGACAACTATTGACCACAGACGAATCCCTGTTCAAGCAGGCCAAGAGAGCTGGAGGGGCACGGCTACGTTACACCAACGGTACCACCCGCATTGGACCCAGTATCGCAGGTTCTCCTCGGGACCCCCCAACTTGGAAAGTCATTACCCTAAAACCCCCCACCCTGTTCTGTGAGGTGGCTGCCGTTCCGGACCCCCAACGGCGAGCCCGCAGATCACAAAAATCCTTGCCCTACCCTGCCCTCCCTCCACTGCCCGGCGCTGCCCTTTCCTCTGCTCTGCCGTGTTGTCTGAAAGGAAAACGGGCATGAGTTCAAGAAAGAACAGGTTTGGGTGGGTTGGCCACGCTATACGGCTCGGGGGTGGGAGAGAGAGAGGGGAAAGTCTTCTATAGGCAGGCTTTCCCAGCTCATCGCCAAAATACGATGCACTCGACACAACCCTGTCGCAACATACCATCGCCGACGCACCGTTCCATGCGAAACCTTAAACCCTAAGCGCTGGACCAAGATCCCTACACCTTTTGTTCCTCAGTCCCTAAGCTTTACATATTAAAGCTTCGAACTCCTTAAATCTGAAAGTTCCTCAATCCACAAACTCAAAGGGTTCGAAATCTCTAAACCCGAAATTTCCGAAATCCCCGAACACTTTAGTTTCTGAATCCCAAAACCTGAACCCGTACACCCTGAGCCCGACAATCCCGACAGCACAAAAATCCTCACTCCGTCAACCGTACACATCCATGGAGCTCTTACAATGCATCTACAGAATCCACAGGATGAACCTATAGTCTCCATTGTAGTTCCTTTTTTTGGTAAGCCAAAATCCCTATTATAGGATCCTAACCATAAAACTGGTTAACCAAAACAAGTAACTACAATGGAGACTCTAGGTAGGGAGCTGCATGTAGTCGTAACTATAACTAGCTGACTATTTCATCTACGTCGACCTCTCGCCCGTCAAGTAATGTAGGGTTCGGGGTTTAGGGTTGAAGGTTTAGGGTTTAGGGCAGTAATGGCATGACCTAAATCCCCACTCGTTCTGCACCTTTACTCATCAACCCCTATAATCAATCACCTTGATAGTAACCCGCACAGCATCTCTCTGAAAGAACCATACAAACAACCCTATCCTATTCTGATTGTATTCCGTCACCGTCAACCGCTCAATTCCCAGGACTCTGCAAACATGCTCGGGCTGCCTGACTTGTGCTTCGGCTGCCAGGGTCAGGTTTCAGTGGTACGGCATTTATTCGGGTTTAGGGTATAGAAGTTCTGCGATTCAAAGGTTTTAATGTAGGGGCCTGAATAATTAGAACAGGGTTTGGTGGTATACTATACTTTATTATTAAAAATAATAAGGAGCCCCAAAATAACATTATTCTAACCAATAAGGACCTTACATTCGGGGTTATTGCAAGCCGTAGCTCTTCAATCAAACTTGAAAATTGAGTCCAAACCAGTCAAGGTGTAGCGTTTAGGGTATATGTTTTCGGTCACCAAACACTACGTCGAACTGTGGCAGTTCGATTTTGGGCACTGAGACTGGCCACAAGTTAGACCTAAAGGGCCGCCAAATACAGGAAACATCTTTCCAAGCTGAATTAAACCCTAAACGCTAGATGCTAATCCCCAAGCACTAAACCCTAATGGGTTTAGGGTTTAGTTCGTAGCTTTATGGCTATAGGGCTGCGAAGCTCTATCATAGCTTCTCGGAACATGGACGAGTATCACAAACTTGCTTTGTTGTAGTGTAGAGTTTACCCCAAGCTAAACCTAGCCGAGAGTTTAGGGTTTAGGGTTCATGAACTTGGAACGGCCCTTTAGCTATTTAGGGTGTGGGGCTTTTGGGCTTAGGATGTAGGTTGACCAACTGGAGCAGAGCTTCTAGAGTACTCCAGCACAGTGCCCTGTCAAGACTCGAAGCAGCGATTACTTCCGTCCTATTCTCGAGGGGTCCTTTTTGGGTAAGTAGGGTTACAACTACTTAAACTGGGGGCTTATAGCCATTATCACAGCAGCTACCTTGCCCACAGCGATCCTTGAGGCCGTGAAGGACCCTGGAACCCGTTTAGGTTTCAGGGTTTAGGATTTAGGGTTTAGGGTTTAGGATTTAGGGTTTAGGGTTGGTTCTGAATGTAAAAAACCATAAAGAGCTGCAAAACCTCTGGAGCCACGTATTCATAGAACCTTTCTGCAGCCTTAATTACTTCAACTCACCAAGTCTGCTGGTCGTTTCACAATAATGAGGAACCAGATTGAGAAACTCTGGGTCTCATTCGATCATTAGGGTTTGGGTTTTGGGGTGGATTCAAGTATTTGCCCCGAGAGCCCAATACCCCTTAATTAAGGAATATAGCTTAAATCATAATATGAAGCCCCTTATAGTTTAAGGTATACCGCTTAATTAATGAAGATTTGGCTCTCTGGGCGGGGGCCTACAGGGCCAGGGTTTCTTAGTCAGGTTCCTACATTAGCCATCCCTCCGATTCGCACCCTACTGAGGATTCCAAACTGGAAGCGCACCTCCGAGAAGGACAGGAGAGATTTGCACAGTCGCCGGCCCAAGTGACGTTGAAGAGCTGTTTTGAGTTGACGTTCTTCTGCGATGCTTTCGGGTTTATTTGGTATGGCCTTGCAGCGGCTGCCTATGGCAGCCACAAGACTGCCAAAGGTGCCTGTCGGCTTGGGTTCGCGGCAACGGGTCGAGTTGGTGAGGGGAGGGGGTTTCGGAAACTCCCAACTCAGAAATCCTGTAAGCACCCAATAAGCTTTTCCAAGACCCTAAACCCTAAACCCTAAGCCTAAACCCTAAACCCTAAGACGACCGCGCCAAGAACTTCTCCGGGATGCCGTTGCAGAGGGGCGGCTGCCTCCGCGTCGAGGCACAGATGAAATGACAACTAGTCACATACTACGATGCCCGGTAGTACCCTTATTCCCTTTTTGTAGTCCTAGGTTCCTTATAAAGTTACCCAATACCAAAAAGAGAGGCCTTTTTATTCTTAGGTTACTGGGTATCCTAGACTAGTCACATAGTCCTTGTACTGCTTCTTCCTAGTTATTATAGGTAGATCGAATGACTACGATTATTGTATTATGGTTGTTGCTCTTGCTGTAAGTATTATCATCATGATAGATATTCTGATTTTTATGATTATTGTGGTTGTTCCGATTATGAAGGTTGTTGTAATTCCAATATTCGTACTAATGATCAAAGTAGAACCGGCTGCTGGGGTTCTTCTCGCACGATTTGTGTGTTGCCTGGTTTGTACTGCTGCAGATATGATTTAAGGTTTGTGCCTGAATAAAGGCGCGGAGTAAAGATCCAATATTGAACCCGAAGTCCCATACCCCAACTAGGATGCCCAGTAGTACCCTTATTCCCTTTTTGTAGTCCTAGGTTCCTTATAAAGTTACCCAATACCAAAAAGAGAGGCCTTTTTATTCTTAGGTTACTGGGTATCCTAGCCAAACCCATGACTCAAGGCCCTCAACCGAAACCATGAGCCCCAAACCCCAAACCCCGAGACTCTTACCCTAAACCTCACACCTCACGCCCTAAACCCGATACCCCTAAACCCTAAACCCCTAAACCCTTACACCCTAAACCCCTAAATCCCAAACGCTAAATCGCACACGCGAAACCCCAGGCTCGAAGGCTTGAATCATCATTGACGCCTGGGGAGGAAATCCGGTAGTAAAGATAGGGTTTAGGGTTTTGGGGTTTAGGCTTTAGGGTTTAGGGTTTCGGGGTTTGGGGGCAGAGGTGTTGAAACAATGCGGGGGCTCGTGAATTGGGTGCGTTTCATATTCTGAAACTAAGGGATCTAGAAGGGTTCGATACGGGAGGTATCAGGCTTCAGGGTTTAAGGTTTAAGGTTTAGGGTTTAGGGGTTCGAACCATTAGTCTGAGCCATGTACAGGTGCGTAGATATAAGGTGGGTAGTTTCCCATAAGCCTTCCATACCACTCCTATAAAAGGGGCCTTATGGGAGTACTATGGAAGAGGAACTACTCACCTGTAAGGGGCTTCTAATTAGTAATGCTGTTTCTTCGGGGTCCTTATCTTCAAGTTCAAAACTTATACCCACAAACCCAATGCAAACTGCGAGGCCCCCATTCGTAGAGTTGAGGGTTTCGGCGTCTTTTGGAGGGTGTGCCCTAGGAGTTCGTCAGGATTACAGTAACTGTTTAGTCTAGCTCATCCCTAAACTGGAAACTTTCCCAAAGGTCCAAGTACCATTATAGCAGGTACTTAGTAGGCATTTGGGGCCCCAAAGGATATCCTATACTACTACTTGGACCCTTCGGGATTAAAGAAACCGAAAGCCACTGCAGAGGCCAACGCTGGGAGTGGGATTGCTTTGATCCAGCACTCGCAGTTGCACGAGAAGTCTTTACGGCAGCTGGACTGATGTGACACGTTTATTGCCAAAAGAATTCCAGTGACCATTCTGGTGGACATGGGAGACTTAGTGGTGCCTCTTGTAGGCGTTCAACAGGACTGTAAGTTCCCGTGCGCCCCAAACTCTACACTGTTTAGGGTTTGGGGTTTAGGGTATAGGCTTTAGGGTTTAGGGTTTGGGTAGGGTTTAGGGTTTAGGGCTTGAACTGATAGTTAAACGTGAATCGCAGCCGGTCCGACTGCCGGGGATCCACACGCCGTGATTCCAAGTTTATGTTCGAAGCCGCAGCTCTAAATCCTGAAGCCCTTATCCCACCCAAAACCGGTTGATGATATAAATCCTGCATTACCTTAAGGGCCCTGGTGGGAATTATGGTATGTTCCTCATCATGGGCAATGCAGAGTTTATATCATCAACCATAGGACCCTTCGGAGTGCGGGGTTTAGGATGTAGTGTGACTTTAGCTGTAAACCCAGAGCGCTAGGCCAGACTGAACCCTAAATTCCTACACTCAGTGCCGGCCGCCCATGTTTAAACGACACAATTTGTTGTAGCTCGTCGATGATAACCAACCCTGCATATAAGGTGGTTTGAAATTCGGAAAATCCTGGGCGAGCCCCGCCAAAATGCCACACCTGTAGAACCCAGATAGAGCTTCCTATAAAGCCCTTGTGCTAGAACCCGTATACTCCTTAAATCTTCCTAGTCCTAGACCCTACTACTCCACGGCTTTGAACCTAATTTTGGGGTTGGAAGACTTGCTAGTAATGTATCCTAAACGCCCCGATCTAGCTACACCATTCTCCAAAAGCCGATTCTGACGATTTAGGCCCTAGGTTAGTGTTGAGGATCCCGTGCCTTGTTGTAGTGGCAAGCTTTGACACCGATGGTGTCACGTGCAACACTCTCTCCAATGCTTCAGTGCACCGTTGCAGACCACTTGTTTGGGGTTCAGACTTCCTTTAATGTGCTCTTTTCCTGGATCTACAAGGGTTCTGTAAGTTCAGAGAGTCGTGGTGATCAATGTGGGGTTTCGGGTTTAGGTGGGGCTTAGGAGGAAAATAGATGTTATTGAGAATTTAACACTCAGGTGTTAATTCAATCAACACCTTCGAAAGCCTGTCGCAGAAGCAAGCTCTCAAGAATTGAACCCTACGGCACTCAACCCCAAAGCCCTAAACTCCTGAATCCTACAGCCCCTACACCCAAAGCCCCAAATCCTTAGGCCCCGAAGCCAAAGTAGCCCTTAACCCCCTTATGGATCCCGTAGTATAGGAGCCTAAGCAATTACCAATACTATTTTGGTGGTTCCTTATTATAAGCATAGTATGATGGGCCCTCAAACCTTATTCTGGCCCCTATATCATAGAATCCTACTATAGATCCCTATAGACCCCTTTAAAGGAACCCGTTCAAGAAACCCTACTCTGATAAATAGTTTTGGCCCCTATGATAACGAAAGCCCAAAGGTTCAGACCTTGTGGTGAAGGTTGACCATCTGTTAGGAATGTCCCGGTTTAGGGTTTAGGGGATTAGGGTTAAGGGTTTAGGGTTTAGGCATTAGGGTTTAGGGTTTAGGGGATTAGGGTTAGGGGTCTAGATTAGGGTTTAGGGTTTGGGGTTAAGGGATTAGGGTTTAGGGTTGTAGCAAAAATACTGGAGTTTCCGACAGTGGGGGGCCCTAATATAGTTACCCTAAGTAGTAGGGTCCTTACTTCAAGGACCCCCAAAAGCAGGTACCCCTAAAGACGGAACCTCCCATAAGGATGTACAGGTTTGGGTTTAGGGCTTATTTAGGGTTTAGGATTTCGGGTTTAGGATTGAGGGTTTAGGGCTTCAGCTTCGTCTTAGAAATTCTACATTGGGGTTCCTTCTTCGGTCATACCTTCAGCACGAATAGGTATGCTTAAAGGGGTTGAAGGGTCCATTAGCCATATTATATAGGAATTCCTTAAGGAAAGTTCCCCGACGCCAACTTTATACTTCATTACCTGCTGGGTTTAGGGTTAAGTATACGATTTAGGTTTAGAATTTTCTTCAGCCGCGCGGCTTTCGTGTGGAGCTCAGGCTTAAGGTGGTCGCATCTTCAGTTGTTTAGCGAGCTGTTCTGCAATGGTGCCGCTGCGCGACAGATAGTTCTTTCGCCTGCGTGGTGAAAAGAGCATGCTCTGCACATGATACAACCCTAAACCCTAAACCACAGGCCCTAAACCCTAAACTACAGGCCCTAAACCCTGAACGCCAACCTAAACCTCAGATCGTATTCAAGACCCCTTGAATTTTTGCCAGGGCTGCTAGGGTTGTGAGTTATCCGGTTAGCTGCAGGACAGGGTTTGGGAGTTAGGGGTTCAGGGGTTGCGTGCTTTTTGAAAGCCTGTCGTACATCCGTTTAAGTTATATGGTTGAGGTTTGGGGTTTAGGGTTTAGGGCCCGAAATGATCCAGATCTCAGTCAAAGCCAAGTAGACCAAGCCAGAGCGAAGGTGGAGGCAGACCAGGAGAGGAAATGGCGAAACAGGACGAAGGTACTTGGAGGATCATGGGACCTAGTAAGTAAGTATGGTTATAAGTACCCTAAGGGGGGTTATATGTAATTGTAAGTATAGTTACCTTAATTATAACCCTAGTTAATACGTCCGCTGAGATGCTCGTGATGCTCGGCTCGGCGTTGGCGTTTTACGCCCCAGGGATTGTCTCAAAGATTGACACTGCCGTGACCAGGGTTTCTCTAAAGGGTATCTTTAAGGGAGTTTTCAGGGTGTTTATGGGGCTTCATTTGGTTTTAAGAAGCGCTAAGCCCTAAATACCGGGTTTCTCGCGGTCAGGGCTACTAGGATTTCGTTGTCGGGTCACGTCACAAAGAGGAGCCTACCAGTGCCATATAGACGACTAGATGCTTTCATCCGACAAAGACGACCAAGAAGCACATAAACCCTAAAAGCTCTAAAACTCTGCTAAAACCGTTGATTCAATGTGCATGAATGAATCTCCGCTATAGAACGTGCGAGAACCCTGACGTAGACGGATACAAAGCTTGAAAGAACAAACTAAACCCTAAACCCTGAAGGGAACACACACGGTTGATTGCCTAATGTAGGGGCCTTTATACTTAGCAACGGGAGTTCCTTACAATCATTATAGTATAATATACCTCAAAACCCTATTCTAACAATTAAGGCCCCTGTATGAAATATGAAACTCTTACAGTAGCCCTAACAGAACCCTTTTAAGGTTCCCTATTCTAACTATTAAGGCCCCTAGATTAA